GGGTGATGGGTAGGTCAGTGAGCCTACTGCTGAGAGCTCAGTAGGCAAAGAATCTACCTGCAATGTGGCAGACCTGGGTTCGATCCCTGGGTCGGGAAGATCCCCTGGAGAAGGAAATGACAACCCACTCCAGTGTTCTTGCCTGGAGAGTCCCAGGGACAGAGGGGTCTGGGGGGCTGCCGTCTATGGTGTCGGACCGGACTGAGACACACGTGGCAGCAAGGAGGTGCAGACTGGAGTCCACGAAGGTGTAGCTGCTCGCAGGGACCAGGGGGCCACCCCGCGGCCGTGACAGACTGGCAGGGACGTCCACTCCCGGGAGGGCCTCCACCCCCACCAAGGCCTGTGGAGGGGGGGCGGGAGGGTATGTGCCCAGGGCTGGCAGCTCTGCCGTTTTCAAAACCTAGACTTTTAAAAATGAAGAGTCTTGGGTCTTCTTAACTATGTATAGTATAAGGCAAATTAAAAATAACTTGTTAGTTAAACAGAAGCCTTCTGCGAGCAGAATGCAGCCTTTGGGCAGCTGTTAGAATTCTGAGGTGGACAAGGATTTAACCATCCAGACACAGCGGCAGCCTGGGGAGGCCTCTCCCGCACCTCTGGGTGGTCAGGTGGGTGCTGTGATGGTGCAGTGGACAGCCAGGAGGCTGGGTACGGGCCAGGAGGCCAGGGGCACGCCAGGAGGCTGGGTACGGGCCAGGAGGCCGGGGGCACGCCAGGAGGCCGGGTACGGGCCAGGTGGCCGGGTACGGGCCAGGAGGCCAGGGGCACACCAGGAGGCTGGGTACGGGCCAGGAGGCGGGCACGCCAGGTGGCCGGGTACGGGCCAGGAGGCCGGGGGCACGCCAGGTGGCCGGGTATGGGCCAGGTGACCAGGGGCACACCAGGTAACCAGGGGCACGCCAGGAGGCCGGGTACGGGCCAGGAGGCCGGGGGCACGCCAGGAGGCCGGGTACGGGGCAGGAGGCCGGGTACGGGGCAGGAGGCCAGGTACGGGCCAGGAGGCCGGGGGCACGCCAGGAGGTCATGCAGGGCTGTTCAGGGCCTCTGAGGTCGGGCCTGGTACCCTCACCCCCTCCATCTCCCATGCCCTGTGCAGCATGCTCACATCTCTGTCCTCTGCTCTATGAGCCTCACGCGGGACGAGGAATGCCCTGGAGCATGGTCTCCACTCTGCTCTCTGCTACAGGCTGAAGAGGTTAAGTGAGTCACAGGACAAAGACTGGCGCGTTAAGCAACCTGTCCCGTTTGAATGTGAACGTGGAAACCATCTGTGCCCCTTGTCCAGGGGTTGGACTGACGGAGAGAAGCTCCCATCAAGTCCCGGACGGCCCAGCCTGGGGCAGGGAGTGCCCGGGGAGGCGGGGGGGCCGGTGAACTCGGGGTGTCAGCCTGGGAACCAGGCGGGGGAGGGTGTGAAAAGGGCCGGCGCTTCCCCGCTCCCTGGTCTCCCGTTTTCTGACTGCAGTCGGCAGACAGCTGCTCTGCAGGGCTGCACTGAATACCCCAGGCGTCCCGTGTGCACAGGTCAGGACGTGGTCCTGGGGGGCTGGCCGCCCTCCCAGCCGTCCTTCCAGTGAATGGTCATCAGCCTTTCCGGATGGAGACATGGGCCCCACCCGGTGATGGGTTCGAGTTTCCCCGACAGAAAGGCAGCAGGGCTGAGCCTCCAGCTGAGGCCGGAGCGCTCCCGGGGACCGCAGCCCGTCCCACCCTGATTCAGGCTCCCGGGGGTCCCATGCCCGAGGCTGGCCGTGGGGGGCTCTAGGCTCTGCATCCAGGAGGGGCTTCTCCAACCACCCTCAGGACATGTGTCTTCCGGCCAACGGTTCCAGTGAAAAAGAGGCTTAGGCGTGGAAGCTGTCTGAGATCTCGGTGGAGTACAGAGCAGGGTGGCGGCAGAACGAACCTGCTGCAGGCCCGGTTCTCGCCTTCTCCGTCTCTGATGTCATCAAGCACTTCCTGATTTTCAAAGAAACATTTCTCCACTTCACATCGCTTGGGATGGCTACTATAAAAACGAACAAGCGAACAAGCAAAACCAGAAAATGACAAGGTCTGGGAAGGAGGTGGAGCGATTGGAACCCTCGCACACTGCTGGCAGGAGTGTGAGATGGGGCAGGCAGTGTGGATATGGGGTGGGGAACCCTCAGACAACGAGGACTGGAGTCACAGGGTCCAGCGTCGCTCTGCCGGGACGGCCTCTACCCATTTAAAAAAGATCCCTGTTAAACGATGAATAAAGTGAATTCTTAACTTTAGATCAGGTTGGTTTGTGCATGTATTTACTCCGCAGATTTATTAAGCCTGTACTGTATGCCAAGCCTGGTCCAAGGAGCCTCCAGGGTGGGAAGTGCAGATGGGAGGTCCACGGAGGCCTCTGGGCCAGGGTGAGCCAGGCGGCGGGGAGGGGCTCCCAGGACAGAGTCTGGAGCGTCCCAGGCCCGAACCTGCACCTGCAGGATGTGTGACCCAGGCGTGCACAGCAGCTGCTAGAGTCTGGAAAGGGGAAGAAGAAGGTGGCCGGGGTTTTCAAAGAGCAGCGGCGTGATCTGAGCAGAGAAAGAAATACATCTCTCGTACGGAAATCTGGGTCAGAGCTGAGGCAGGGCTGAGATTTGCAAGGCGCGCAGCGAGGTTGGGGACCCGCCGCGTTGCAGGAAGTGAGTCACGGGAGAAGAGAAACCAAAACCTGCCGCTGGCAGCAGGATGGTTGCGGTTCCGACGGCCATCGGGTGCTGTCTGCTCACACTTTCATTCTGAGTCATTTCCTTACTCGGAGAAGATCATCTGGAGAAGACAACCTCCGTGGTCCATGTCTTTAAAGAAGAGGCCCGTCCACGTGCAGAGCTGGCGTCCGACTGGAGAGGCAGGACCAGGCGGCCAAAACATCCTCAGAGATGTCTGGAGGATCCTGAACCTTCCACACACACAAAAGATTGTCCCGTTTCACAGGATCCTTAGAAAACATGCAGAAAGGAATTGCTGGAAGGAAAGAATAGCAATAAAGCTTTGATGTAGCAAAGCCAGCCAGCTCAGGAGGCCGTGCTGAGGGCGTGTAGGTGAAACGTGAGTCCCCAGAGGGACCACAGGCTTGTGGGGACGTACACAGAGACCGCTGATTGAGCGGATCGTGTGGAAGCGGCCAGGCAGCACCTGCTGTACGCTGTGTCGTGAGCCGGTTCCATGCCCACAGTTTCGTGGATTGTTTCAGCCACATGGTCGCCCCGTGTGGTCTGCTTCTCCTGCCCCCATTTGACAGGAGAGGAAAGTTCAGAGCAGTTGGATGAACTGTCCCAGGCCACAAGGCAAGGAAGCGATGGAGAAGCATGCTGACACAGGGGCCCCGGGCACGGCCGCTGACCCCAGGACTCTCAGCCTGGCTGCATGGCGTCAGAACTGACACTGTTGCTCAGCTGCGTCTGACTCTGTTTTTTTTCCACGTCCGACTCTTTACGACCTTGTGGACTGTAGCCCACCAGGCTCCTCTGTCCATGGGATTCTCCAGAAAGAATATTGGAGTGGGTTGCCATTGCCTTCTCCAGGGGATCTTCCTGACCCAGGGTTCGAACCCAACTCTCTTACATCTTCTGCATTGGCAGGCAGATTCTTTATCCTGGAGCCACCTGGGAAACCCAACAGAATTCATGAGGGGACTTCAATCTCACCCATGCCTCCCAGACTAACTGAGTCAGAACCCCCGGGTGAGCTGAGGCATCCAGGTTTCAAAAGTTCCCGGACTGATGCCCCAGTGAGTCCAGGAGACGGCCATCAGGACCCTGAGAGGCAGCAGATCTGTGACGAGACCTCCCCATTCGGTCCCCCGAGGGTGGGCAGAGCCGCTGGCCACAGCACCGTGGAGGGAGCCCGGCAACACGGCTTGTGGGAAGCAGTCCGTGCCCAGGGTGGGCCAGCAAGCCTGTCCAGACGGTCACGTGGGCTGGCTTTGCCCACCCCCACCCCAAGGGTACCTGACGTCTGGACGGCTGTGTGTTTTCAGGGTGTGGATTTACCTGCATAGCGGCAGAGATGTCATCAGCACGAGGATGGTTAAGAAACATGTCCTGAGTAGATCACTGGGTTATCAATAAGGCTTATGGGGAACTTATCATAACATGGGAAAGGCTTCTATTGAATGTTAGTTTCTTTAAGTTCAGTTTAGTCGCTCATTTGTGTCTGACTCTGCGACCCCAGGAACTGCAGCACGCCAGGCTCCCGTTTCTTTAAAGCAGCATTTAGCATTGTATATGCCGTAGAACAAAGGAAGAAAAATGGAGACAATTCTTCTCTTTGAGACAGAAGAAACAGTTTAGAATGGCCACATCAGAGAATTTTATTCAGCGGCATCACACCTCATCTGGTCCTGTTTCCCTTCTAAGTCTTTTGAAATTCTGTTCACTCGGGCGGAACTGAACTCCGAGAAGAGAGCGCAGTGTTGCTGGGGGACCCACATTCCCCGGGACCCCCAGGCACACTGGCTGCCTACCTCCTCCAGGGGCAGAGTGGGAAGGTCATGCCCACATTTCAAGTCTGGTTCTGGCAAGGAGCCTACGTGGGAGGCACACAGATCCTGGAGGGGAGGTAGCTTTGCCATTTCCTGTTGCCTAATTCCAGCAAGGAGTTAATTCCAGTTAAGGTGTTTAACCTTAAACACCTTCATAGAGCACCTTCTGGGAAAAGCAGAAGTCTCTCCCTGGGGGCGGTACAGGTGAAGGTCATGCGAGGCCCCAGTGTGGGCTGCGTGGGACCCAGCGCTACAGGCAGATCCCGGGACCCGGTGCTCCAAGCGGACCCTGGGATCCAGTGCTACAGGCAGATCCCGGGACCCGGTACTCCAAGCGGACCCCGGGATCCAGTGCTACAGGCAGACCCTGGGACCCAGAGCTACAGGCAGATCCCGAGACCCGGTGCTCCAAGTGGACCCCGGGACCCAGAGCTACAGGCAGATCCCAGGACCCGGTGCTCCAAGCAGACCCTGGGATCCAGAGCTACAGGCAGACCCTGGGACCCAGAGCTATAGGCAGATCACGAGACCCGGTGCTCCAAGTGGACCCCAGGATCCAGAGCTACAGGCAGACCTCAGGCCCCTTCTAAGCATCTTGGAGTCTCTCCAGGGCGGCACCCCTGCCTTGAACAGAGGGTGGGAGATGAGGCAGATATCAGGGTGATGTTCTAAGTCCTCTGTCAGCAGCATGGGTTGCAGACTTGGGACATCATTTAAGAGGCAGAGGAGAAGAGGCAGCCGCTGTTAGTGTCCAGGGGCCCTGCCCACCTTCTCTGGGTGGCCTTGCGCCCGCCGGTCCCCAGCAGCCTTGCTCAGGACTTCCGCGTCGCGGGCATTGGGTGGAAAGCACGCTCTCACACCAAATGCTCCTCCAGGAGGCTCAGAGCACAGCGGTTGTTTTAGAGCTGGGGAAGCAGACGGAATTTCAGAAGCACACAGCCATTCAAACCTTCATGAGTTCTACAAGCACTTCTGAGAAGTTTAGTGAGAAAGCACGCCTAATAATAAAGGTAGGCACTGACCGTGCTGTCTTGGGTGTGACCTATAATTTATGCAAGTGGAGCTCAAGTTTATCAAAGCGCGGTGAGCCAAGCAGCTCTGAGCACGGGACGCTTACAGCCGGCGGAACCTGGTTTCAGACCCGAAGCCCCACTTCCCCACGTCAGTTACCACAGTCTGCACAGTAGGTGCAAAAGAGCAGAGACCTCTTTGCATTTACAAACCAGCATAGGAAGTTAAAGTGATTTGCCAACACCGAACCGTCAGAACCACACCAGGCTTGCCACCTTCCTCCTCCTCTCCCTCCATCACCGGACACCAGAGCATCTTTTCTCAGCGACGAGCATGGGGCCATGATTGAGCAGTTCAGCATGCCCCGTGATTGTGTCAAGGAGGCTCCACTGGCTCCGTTTTGAGTAGTGGCTCTGTGAGGCTCTGTCGCTGGAGGAAATCGTGGTGAACAGCGTGGGCAGGACGCTTGCTGGCACGGTGTGAAGTGTGTAGCGCCGAATCCTGACTTCCCATCCTGCTGGCTCGGCCCCGGGAGAGTCGTCTTGGAGACAGGGAAGGGCGGGCGGTCCTCAGGAGTCTGAGTCTCTGAGGTCCCAGCCCGGGGCCTCTGCTTGCAGCCTGCGGGCCCGCAGGGTGAGCGCGTAGAAGAGCTTGCGGTAGGAGTGCCGGAAGGCCGGGCTGGAGAAGCAGTAGACCACGGGATTCAGCACGCCCTGCAGGTAGGTGAGGCTGCCGGTCACGTCGGCCGCGTGCATCGCGGCGGTCAGCAGCCCGCAGCTGCGCGCCCCCCGGGAGGCGGCCAGCAGGACGCGGGCCACGAAGCAGGGCAGAAAGCATAGCGCGAACAGCACGCCCACCGCGCCCACCAGCGCCCGCGCCCGCCGCAGCTTGGGCTGCTTGTCCGGCTCCCGCAGCCGCTTCCGCAGGGTCCTGAGGATGCCCGTGCTGCAGAACAGGATGAGGCCGAAGGGCAGGATGAACTGGACGAAGAAGAGGGCCTCCTGCCAGAGGCGGCGGAAGGAGGACTCTTCCCGGGGCTCGGAGCTGGGGCACTCCACCTCCGAGAGGAAGGCGCTCTGGTGGGTGAGCCCGGCCATGAGCAGCCAGACCAGGCCTGAGATGCCCCAGGCTGCCCGCAGCGACAGAGTGTTGACCCTGAGCCTGGAGTGGACCACCCGCAGGTAGCGATCCAGGGTGACGGCGGTGAGGAAGGCCAGGCCTGCCCCGCGGCACAGGGCCCGCAGGAAGAGCAGCGCTTGGCAGGGCGCGTGCCCCAGGTACCAGCGCTTCTGCTCCAGGTAGAAGGCGGCGTGGAAGGGCAGGCAGGCGGCCAGCAGGAGGTCTGCCAGCACCAGGTTGAGCAGGTAGACGGCGAAGGGCTTCCACGCCTTCAGACGGAAGAAGAAGGTCCAGAGCGCCACGGCGTTGCCCAGCGTGCCCAGCCCGCACTCAAGCAGCAGCAGCGAGGCCGTGGCCACCTCTGCCGCCTGGCTGTGCGCTGAGCAGTTCATCGGCAGCATGTCGCGCCTCCCTGCCATCCGTCTGGAGCTGAGGCTTTGGGAGCGAAAGGCAGGGATGGGTCTGGCTCCGTTTTGAGTAGTGGCTCTGTGAGGCTCTGTCGCTGGAGGAAATCGTGGTGAACAGCGTGGGCAGGACGCTTGCTGGCACGGTGTGAAGTGTGTAGCGCCGAATCCTGACTTCCCATCCTGCTGGCTCGGCCCCGGGAGAGTCGTCTTGGAGACAGGGAAGGGCGGGCGGTCCTCAGGAGTCTGAGTCTCTGAGGTCCCAGCCCGGGGCCTCTGCTTGCAGCCTGCGGGCCCGCAGGGTGAGCGCGTAGAAGAGCTTGCGGTAGGAGTGCCGGAAGGCCGGGCTGGAGAAGCAGTAGACCACGGGATTCAGCACGCCCTGCAGGTAGGTGAGGCTGCCGGTCACGTCGGCCGCGTGCATCGCGGCGGTCAGCAGCCCGCAGCTGCGCGCCCCCCGGGAGGCGGCCAGCAGGACGCGGGCCACGAAGCAGGGCAGAAAGCATAGCGCGAACAGCACGCCCACCGCGCCCACCAGCGCCCGCGCCCGCCGCAGCTTGGGCTGCTTGTCCGGCTCCCGCAGCCGCTTCCGCAGGGTCCTGAGGATGCCCGTGCTGCAGAACAGGATGAGGCCGAAGGGCAGGATGAACTGGACGAAGAAGAGGGCCTCCTGCCAGAGGCGGCGGAAGGAGGACTCTTCCCGGGGCTCGGAGCTGGGGCACTCCACCTCCGAGAGGAAGGCGCTCTGGTGGGTGAGCCCGGCCATGAGCAGCCAGACCAGGCCTGAGATGCCCCAGGCTGCCCGCAGCGACAGAGTGTTGACCCTGAGCCTGGAGTGGACCACCCGCAGGTAGCGATCCAGGGTGACGGCGGTGAGGAAGGCCAGGCCTGCCCCGCGGCACAGGGCCCGCAGGAAGAGCAGCGCTTGGCAGGGCGCGTGCCCCAGGTACCAGCGCTTCTGCTCCAGGTAGAAGGCGGCGTGGAAGGGCAGGCAGGCGGCCAGCAGGAGGTCTGCCAGCACCAGGTTGAGCAGGTAGACGGCGAAGGGCTTCCACGCCTTCAGACGGAAGAAGAAGGTCCAGAGCGCCACGGCGTTGCCCAGCGTGCCCAGCCCGCACTCAAGCAGCAGCAGCGAGGCCGTGGCCACCTCTGCCGCCTGGCTGTGCGCTGAGCAGTTCATCGGCAGCATGTCGCGCATCCCCGCCATCCGTCCGGAGCTGAGGCTTTGGGAGCGAAAGGCAGGGATGGGGCCCGAGGCTGTGCTCGTTCCCACAGGGAACACACTGACAGCATCCGGATGAAGTCAGAGACAAAGTAAAATTTGTTTGGGGAAAGAGGATCAGGAGCGGGGGGAAAAAACCCTTGCAGTTTTGTTTTGCCCTGAAGAAGGGGAAATTGTGTTTCACTTCCCGTCGTCCTGTGCTAAATCGAGTGCTTTATCCTGAGGGTCTGTGTGTGGCCCCGGAGGGGCTTGGGAAGTTCAGGAAGACTTTATAAAGTTAAGATAATGAAGGGAACAGATTGTTCTTGAGTTTGCACTGTTTTCCCACAGTCAGACCCGGTGCTGCGATCCCTGAGAAGAGGACGTGGATGACCCGGTCATTTGACAGTTGCCCACTTTCACTTGTCCTTTCGTTTCATCAGAGCTGGTCTTCTGTTGAGGAGAAGATCCTACCCTACCCTCCCCACACTCCCCACATGGGGACCCGCACCCCTGGGGGTCGGAAAGCTCCTCCTCGGTGGGCTTGGAAAGCAGAGTGAAACCGATGATGGGTCTGGACGCACAGGCTCCACCAGCATGTCTGGTCCATGAGCCCAGGGATGCGCTCTGTGTGCTGGTGATGAAATAGTGCCTGACGCATAAGCAGAGTCAAAAACCAAATACTGATGAACCCGTCATTCCGACCCATCCTGACCCTGACTCACTGGGTCTTGGCCCTGATTCGCCCTGTTTCTCTGCAGCCTGATTTTCTTTTTCTTTTTTGACTTCATGACATGCAGGATCTCGGTTCTCCGACCAGGGGTTGGGCCTGTGCCCCCTGCAACGGCTGCTCTTACCACTGTACCTCGAGGGAAGTCCCTGTTCAGCCTGCTTTGCGCGTTGGAGTCAAATAGGGTTCAGTTCTATCTGGCTTCTCCACTCAGCAGCCCTGCGGGGTGCATATGAGGACGTCGGCCTGCGGGGTCCCCGTGTCTGAGACACTCTTAGGTGCATGCGCTGTGCACCGTCATCTGGGACTTCACGGTGCCAGACACGTGTGCTGCAGTCGTCATTAACCTCTATCCGATGCTTAGACTTTCAGCAAAACTCTTTTCTCTCCCAACGTCGTGGTACAATTCCACACCTGACTTCAGTTCCATGTGCTTCGACGCCTTCATTTCTGAGACCTAAGCTGGAAGCTTCAGGAGGTTTTTCATCAGTGATGATTACTAGCTGCCGTATGTTTACCGTGTTTCAGGCACCGTCCCGTGCTCACCTGTGTTACTGCAGTGAACTGAGTGGCATGAGGTGCAGGAGGCACAGGTCTAAGCGCTGCGCCGTGGATGACGGCGTGGTGGTTCAGAGAGGGGAGGTCACTCGCTCCAGGTTTCCGGGCAGTGAGCGGCAGGAGCCAGGTCCTCCCAGCCCAGCCTGCCCCAGAGCCCGCGTCCCAGCCACTCTGCCCACGGCTTCCACGCCTGCAGCGGCCTCACACCTGTGTGAGTGGAAAGTCCAGGTCTCAGGAAGCCCACTATGGCCTTTGATTTGCATGACTTCTCAGGCAAATTGACTAGTGTTCCTTCTTGCTTTAATTTTATCAGGTTTTCCTTTTCAACTGGACCACCAGCCCACACATTCTTCCATCTCTGCATCATGCAGGTTCACCTGCCTCTTATTTCCTAAGAAGGTGCATTTGGAGAGTTGTCTAAGCTTTTGCAATTGCAGAAACATCCTGCCTGGTACCTCTTGTGACGCCTCCAGGGACACGAGAGGATGTGTTCGTTCCAGCTGAGGGTTGGCTGGAGACCACCATCTCATCTCCAGGGATGCTGTGGCTCATGGTGACGCCCAGGAAAGCTGGCACTCACTCAACTGCTCAGGGACAGAAGTCACACAAATGCAGGAAAGAAATGGATTACATCATTTCAACGCATTGAAAACTTGGAGAGACCTTAAAAGCTCCTATCCCTTAACTGCAGATTCACAGTATACCAAAAACTTTCTAAATTACAAATATTCTAGCTCAATAGGTAACATAAACATGAATAATTATGTATTTTCCCTTTAAATATAAAAGGAGAATAATTATATATTTTTATATATAATTATTTATATAATATATAATTACTTATATGTTTCCTTTTAAATATAAAAAAAATCAAAGTTATAGAGTTAAAAAAATTCTGCTTCTTTTTCTCAGCATACTGGTGTATTCTCCTTACTTCTGGAAGATGGTATTGTCCTTTAAGAAGTTTGTTGTGATCTGCACAGTCAAAGGCTTTGGTGTAGGCAATAAAGCAGAAATAGATGTTTTTCTGGAACTCTCTTGTTTTATCTATGATCCAACGGATGTTGGCAATTTGATCCCTGGTTCCTTTACGTTTTCTAAATCCAGCTTGAACGTCTGGAAGTTCATGGTTTACATACTGTTGAACCCTGGCTTGGAGAATGTTGAGTATTACTTTGCTAGTAAGTGAGATGAGTGCAATTGTGCAGTAGTCTGAACATTCTTTGGCATTGACCTTCTTTGGGATTGAAATGAAAACTGACCTTTTCCAGTCCTGTGGCCACTGCTGAGTTTTCCAAATTTGCTGGCATATTGAATGTAGCACTTTCACAGCATCATCATTTAGGATTTGAAATAACTCAACTGGAATTCCATCACATCCACCAGTTTTGTTTGTAGTGATGCTTCCTAAGGCCCACTTGACTTCACATTCCAGGATGCCTGGTTCTTGGTGAGTGATCACACCATTGTGATTATCTGGGTCATGAAGATCCTTTTTGTATACTTCTTCTGTGTATTCTTGCCACCTCTTCTTAGTGTCTTGTGCTTCTGTTAGGTCCATACCATTTCTGTCCTTTATTGAGCCCATCTTTACATGAAATGTTCCCTTGGTATTTCTAATTTTCTTGAAGAGATCGCTAGTCTTTCCCATTCTATCGTTTTCCTCTATTTCTTTGCACTAGTCGCTAAGGAAGGCCTTCTTACTTCTCCTTGCTATTCTTGGGAGCTCTGCATTCAGATGGGTGTATCTTTCTTTTTCTCCTTTGCCTTTAGTAAAGAAACAGTCAAATATGCAGAATGTGATAAATTTGCTTTTCAGGACTCTGTGCTTTCCTAGAGACATTTCCCTCTGTCCCAGCGTGTGAAATCCCAGACACCCTCTGGGGTGCCCCTGCCAGTGAGAGGATTTGGTCCGTGGGGGACAGGCTCCCAGAGGGCGGCTTTGGCGAGGGTCCCTGCAGGACCCAAGTTTAGGCAGGGACCCCGTGCTGCTGTCGAATTTGCATGCTGTGAGTGAAATGAAGGTCCCTGGAAGCCGTGCCACAGGGAGGAAAGGCAGGGGGAAGGGGCGTCGCCTCTGCGGGCCTGCACTTGCCGCAGTGCCCTCACACCTGGGGAAACTCGCCAGAAGGGGCTTCCCCGAGGGGTCGGGAGTGAGCAACTTTCTCCTTCCAGAGTGGGGATCCACATGGGAGCTCGGAATCTGGACGACGTGTGAGCAGGGCTGCAGCTACTGACGCTTTGTAAGGTGGCAAGCCTTCTCCTGCCTTAACCACGTCTGGGCCGCCGCGTAATCTTCAGTTCGGTCCGTCAGTTGTATCCGAGCGTTTGCGGCCCCACGGACTGCAGCACCCTGTTTATGCAGCATACGTGAACCCAGAGATGGCCACACCAAGTGAAGTGAGTCAGACAGGACAAGTACCACACGCTGTCCGTCCCCTGCGCGTGGGACCTAAAGTGCGGCTCAGATGAACCCGGCAGAGAACAGGCCTGCGGTTGCTAAGGAGCTGAGGAGGCTGGGAGGACGGTCTGGGGGTTCGGGGTCAGCAGATGCAAACTACTACATACAAGATGGGTGAACAGCCAGGTTCTTCTGTAAAGCAAGGGGACTGTTTCCAACAGTCTATAATAAACCATAATGGGAAAGAGTATGAAAAAGAACGCATATCTGTATAACTGGGTCACTTTCTGTGTGGCGGATTTTAGCACAGCATTGTAAATCAACTATATTTCAATAAAATCATTTTTTTAAAAGCCCTCATGTGATGATGAACTGCTAGATACGGACAGTGTATGCACACGTGTGTGTCTGTGTGTGCATCACAGATCTCTACACTGATCTGAGAGGAGCTCAGCTAGCTTTTGGGGGAAGACGACTGCTACATCAGATCTTTTCAAATTTGCTTCAAAGTCAACTTGGATAACTGTTGTTAGGACGCCGTGGCCCCTGGCTTCCGCTCCTCCCCACGCCTGGGCCGGGGGCGGGGATGCTGTGCTCCTGAGTTTGCACCCCTCTCCTCGCCCTCCTGGCAGAGTCTGGGGGGGCGGGGGCAGGGAAGGGGTCAGTGCAGCCACCTCATCCCCACCACCCCCGCCTTCTGCTGTCACAAACCGCCCCTGACATTCCCGCCATCACTCTGATAACACATAACTCAAAGGATTAGGAGAAATCGACGCTCATTTTCCTAGACACAGGTTTGCTTTTTCACAGAGGAGTCTCAGATTTCATCCCATCGCCAGTCTCATCATGTCATGATGAGATCCCATAATGAGATCTCGTCTCATCATCTCAGCGCGTAACAAACAAGAAACACAGGGAAGTGCCGGGAAAAGGGAAGTCACTGTTACATAACCGCCCGTCACACGCGGGCCTTTACACAGAGACAGGGTCACGCAGTCCCTGCTGCGCGCAGCCTGGCTTCCCGCCGGGCCATTCTCGCTGATCAGCAGACGTGACTCTGCGCGCAGGGAGGGCTGCTTGCTGGGTGGTGTGACTGCCCCCGCTGCGCGCCCTCCGGTCAGCGCTGTCTGCATTCTCTCGCCTCCTCTCTGCTCTTCTTCTCCCAGGCCTGAAAATGGCCAATGCAGTTTCTGTGCTTACGAGATGGATTGGAAGGTGGTCTAGTGGGCTTTAAATTCTCCTTCTCGTGAGCTCAATCTTGTCACTGATCACACATGTTCTCGCCCTTCCCCACGTCTGTCTCTGTCTGTGCGTCTCTCAATAGGGTGTGATGCCCGTGTCCACATAACTAACCACGCTGCGAGGCTGCTTGTCACATGAGCGAACACTGTGGTCCTCAGCCTCGGGCTGATGCTTCCAAAGAAAATGTGTCCCTCTCAAGTGTAACCTCACAGGCTAAAAACTTTAGAATTTACAGCTAGTTCCTTATTATTGAAGTGACCTATTCAGTCAGAGAACATATAGGAAGCTGTAAAGTAAAATTGAAACAATCGTTTCTAGTCCCACTACTTAGAGACACTATTTGCTAACATTCTGGTGAATTTCCTTTTGGTTCTTTCTGTGAGGCGCCGCTTCACACAGGCTGCTGCTGTTGCACGCTCAGCCGCTCGGTCATGTCTGACCCTTTGTGACCCTGTGACCGCAGCAGGCCAGGCCTCCCTGTCCTTCACCATCTCCTGGAGCTGGCGCAAGCTCAAGTGCATTGATTCTGTGATGCCATCCAACCATCTCATCATCTGTTGTCCCCCTTCTCTTCCTGCCTTCTATCTTCCCTAGCATCAGGGTCTTTTCTAATGAGTCAGCTCTTTGCATCAGGTGGCCCAAATATTGGAGCTTCAGCTGGAGCATTAGTCTTTCCAANTTTTCCAAAATGTGTTGTGATCCACACAGTCAAAGGATTTAGTGTAGTCAGTGAAGCAGAAGTAGATGTTTACAAAGTGGATTTTTTTTCTCCATTTAATTTGTAATCTTAAAAAGCTTCTCGTGTCATTGTGTTTTGAAATATTTGGAACATCAGCATCGTAGACATGGTGAGGGATATCCTACAGCCGAGCCTTTGTCTATGCCACTAGCTATGACTTTACAAAAGGTTCTAAGAGACGGAACTTGTGTCCATGATATAGGAGGGCTTTGCATGTGTTTGATTTTAAATTTTGTTGTTTTTAGTAAATAGGTGTAGAGTTGACACAGAAGATCGTGCATTTCTTTAGTTTTCTTTATACATCTTTTAGGCCAGGAACTGGGGGATGAAACACACTTTGGGGGGGCTCGCCGAGGAAGCACTGGGAGTGGATTCTCCTACCATGGGACCCTGCAGGGCCCCCGGCCCTGCCCCGGCCCGATGCACACCCCTGGGACTGAGCTGCGACCCGGTGGAAGTGCCGCCCCGCCACTCTGTCAGTGACCCGGGACGAACCTTCTAGTCCGGCTCCATGCAGCTCTGGGAACCTGCACTCAGGCCAGCAAAGCATGAGTTTCAGGGACAGGCCCGCCCTTTCCTGTTTCTCAGGCTTGTGGTTACGGCGAGCTGGCTGCTCCCCAGCTGTGACCCTGCTCGGGCAGCCCCCCGTGGGTGGCAGCTTCCCACAGGGCTCAGGGGTGCGGGAAACTCTGAAAGAGAGTCAGAGTTTACCAGGTAGTCCTCTTCATTTATCGACATCGAACAAAAACTGAAACCACATTCACATCTAAATTTTGCAGGCTGCGGGACCGAGGGGAAAGGGACCCTCTGACTTGGTGCTCAGAAGAGGCAGACAGGGGATGTGGAGAGACGGGGTCTGTCCTGTGTGCTGAATCCCGTGACCGAGAGAAGAGGAGCTGGTAGTCACAGAGGACCCCACTCCGCACCGACTGGGCTCCTCAACCTGGCACGTTCATGGGGTCCCAGAGCCAGGAGCACATTTAAAGTCATACTCCAAATTCAAACACCTTGGCCACGGTTAACTAGACATTCTCCCTGGTGTATTTGAAGAATATTACGATCTGGTCAAACTGTTCTTGTTAAGAGGATTCTCTAATTAGACAGTATCAGGAATGTATTTTCAAACCGTTTTCTCAGTGGGCAGCATTAGTAACAAATAGTCTTTCTACTGAACCACAGGATCACGCCTTCATAGAGCTATGTAAGAGCCTAGAAATGCCTTTTTCTTCCAGCACTTTCCTAGAACTCCCAGCAACAGCCGGCACGGTTGAGAGCACAGCTTCCCTGACACGTGGTGCCCCAGGGCCCGTGTCCGGGTCCTCTAATCCTGTGGCTTCACCTGGAAGCCCTGCTCTCCTGCCATCCAGGGTCTGCAGGCTCGGGGTCGGCCCCCTCTCCCACCTCCAGGGGTGTCATCTGATTTATTTCCCCAACCGCGGACGTACATAGCCACGCTCCCTCTGTGTCTGCAGGGATCCTGCTACCCTTCTAGCAAATAATGGATCAAAGGACAGCTTTTCGTCCTTGAGGACTCAGGCTAAGAGAAATGAGGCCTTGCTCTGTGCTATGCATGGAAAACTTGATATTAAACACATCGTGGGCGGTCAGTTGCGGGGTGGAGTCCCACCACCTTCAGTTCCTATGCGGGTAATGTATTCCGCTGACTTTGAACTGACTACACCCAAACCACACGTTTGTAAATATTTAACTGTCTTCTAACTTAATGAAATCATAAAGCTAGCCAGAGTGTTGGGAAGTGTGGTCCGCGTGTGCCCCTTTAAGGCGGGGAGGCAGTTTAGAATCAATCGCTGTTCTCTGAGAAGGAGTGGCAGGGTCAGGGTGGCTGTGGGGGGCCAGGACCCCACTTGATGACCGCCCTGGACTAGGTGAGGCGGCAGGACTTGCTGGGTCGGCCGAGGGTGGGGGTCTCCCCAAGACTGCCTTAGGAGCTGGCATTCATCCTGTTAGAGAAATATGAAAGGAGCACCTTTTTAGAGTCACAAGGATGACACACTCAAGCCAACTTCTGAGTAAGACTTTGGTAAAACCCAGCTGGGGATGGGATGACGGAATGATTAGTTCACTAGTCTCTGCTGTTGGTGCTTTTGATTACCTTTCTTCACCAAACAAATGCTTTAACTTCTTACTTTTCTGCCACTGTGGTTAACTGTTCATTCCATGTTTAGTGTAGTTTGAAGTTTATGAGTAAATGCATTTCTGTTTGCACACAGGTGTAGATGTCATAGTTTCAGTGGTCCTTTTAAGCCTGCCCCCTCCCCCAAGCGCTTGCCCTGGGACAGTCACTGATGCCCTCTGTCGCTGTTGTTCGGTCGCCAAGTCATGTACACTCTTTGTGACCTCATGGGTTGCAGCACACTAGGCTTCCCTGTCCTTCAGTATCTCCTGGAGCTCGCTCAAACTCATGTCCATTGAGTCAGTGATGCCATCCAACCGTCTCATCTTCTGTTGTCCCCCTTTCCTCCTGCCCTCAATCTTTTCCAGCATCAGGGTCTTTTCCAATAAGTTGGCTCTTCGAATCAGGTGGCCAAAATATTGGAGATTCAGCTTTATCATCAGTCCTTCCAATGAATATTCAGGGTTGATTTCCTTTAGGATAGTCTGGTTTGATCTCCTTGCAGTCCAAGGGATTCTCAAGAGTCTTCTCCAGCACCACATTTCAAAGCATCATTTCTTCAGTGCTCAGCTTTCTTTATGGTCTAATTCTCACATCCATACATGACTACTGGAAAAACCATATCTTTGTTGGCAAAGTAATGTCTTTTGCTTTTTAATATACTGTCTAGGTTGGTCATAGCTTTTCTTTCAAGGAACAAACATCTTTTAATTTCATTGCTACAGTCGCCATCAGCAATGATTTTGGAGCCCAAGAAAATAAAGTCTGTCACTGTTTCCATTGTTTCACCTTCTATTTGCCATGAAGTGATGGGACCAGATGCCATGATCTTAGTTTTTTGAATGTTGAGTTTTAACCTAGCTTTTCATTCTCCTCTTTCATCCTCATCAAGAGGCTCTTTAGTTCTTCTTCACTTTGTGCCATAAGTGTGGTATCATCTACATATCTGAGGTTACTGATATTCCTCCTGGCAATCTTGATCCCAGCTTGTGCTTCCTCCAGCCCAGCGTTTCTCATGATGTACTCTGCATGGAAGCTAAATAAGCAGGGTGACGATATGCAGCCTTGACGTACTCCTTTCCGATTTTGAATCATGTAGGTTGTTCCACGTCAGATTCTAACTGTTGCTTCTTGACCTGCACACAGATTTCTCAGGAGATAGGTAAGGTGGTCTGGTATTTCCATCTCCTTAAGAATTTTCTACAGTTTGTTGATATCCAAACAAAGATTTTAGAATTGTTAGTGAAGCAGAAGTAGATGGTTTTCTGGAATTCCCTTGTTTTCTCCATGATCCAAGAGATGTTGGCAATTTGATCTCTGGTTCCTCTGCCTTTTCTAAAACCATCTTGAACATCTGGAAGGTCTCGGTTCATGTACTATTGAAGCCTTGCTTGAAGGATTTTGAGCATGTCCTTGCTAGCATGTTAAATGAGCACAATTCTGTGGTAGTTTGAGCATTCTTTGAGATTGCTCTTCTTTAGGATTGGAATGAAAACTGACCTTTTCCAGTCCTGTGGCCACTGCTGAGTTTTCCTAATTTGTTGGCATACTGAGTGCAGCACTTCAGCAGCATCATCTTTTAGGTTTTGAAATAGCTCAGCTGGAATTCCATCACCTCTACTAGCTTTGTTCGTAGTGATGCTTCCTAAGGCCCACTTGACTTCACACTCCAGGATGTCTGACTCTAGGTGAGTGACCTCACCATCATGGTCTTTAGGATTATCCAGGTCACTATGGCCTTTACGTAAAGTTCTTCTGTGTGTTCTTGCCACCTCTTCTTCATATCTTCCGCTTCTCTTAGGTCCTTGTGGCTTCTGTCCTTTTTTGTGCCCATCCTTGCCTGAAATGTTCCCTTGAAATCTCCAGTTCTCTTGAAGAGATCTCGACTCTTTCCCACTTTGTTGTTTCCCTCTATTTCTTCACATTATTCACTTGAGAAGGCTTTCTTATCTCTCCTTGTTCTTTGGAACTCCGCATCCAGTTGGGTTTGTCTCCCTTCCTCCTTTGCCTTTCACTTCTCTTTCTTTCCTCAGCTGTTTGTAAGGCCTCCTCAGACAACCACTTTGCCTTCTTGCATTTCTTTTTCTTTGGGGACGGTTTTGATCACCACCTCCTCTATGTTACAAATCCTCATCTATAGATCTTCAGGCACCCTGTCTATCAGATCTAATCCCTTGAATCTATTTGTCACATCCAGTGTATAATCATAAGGGATTCAATTTAGGTCATACCTGAATGGCCTAGTGGTTTTCCCTACTTTCTTCAATTTAAGTCTGAATTTGGCAATAAGGAAGGAGCTCGTGATCTGAGCCACAGTCAGCTCCCTGTATTGTTTTTGCTGACTGTGTAGAGCTTCTCCATCTTCAGCTGCAAAGAATATAATCAATCTGATTTGGGTTTTGACTGCCTGGTAATGTCCACGAGTAGAGTCGTCTCTTGTGTTGTTGGAAGAACATGTTTGCTGTGACCGGTGTGTTCGCTTGACAAAAGTCCCTGTTAGCCTTTGCCCTGCTTCATTCTGTACTCAAGGCCCCACTCGCCTGTTACTCTGAGTCAGCCTTAATCCTCATTTTGATAAATGTCCGGGTTTACTTAAAACAGAGCGGAAAGACCGTCAGCTGAGGGTGGTTTCAGAGGACGCCCTGTGTTTGGGGGAGCTTGGTTGCTCGGGTTTAGCTCTGCTTTCTGCCGCCATGAGGTGCGGTGGTGGTGGACACGCCGTCCTGGAGGCCTGGTTCCTCCCCGAGTCTGCACACAGCCTGGCCGGGAGCCGCAGGAGTCTCCGTGGCTGAAAGCCCGCAGCCTGAAGGCAGGAAACGCGTCCACCCGTCCCCTGCCTGGGGTGTCCGGGGGAAGGGCCAGCGCCCCACTCTAGGGTGGCATCCCTTGTCTCCGGTGGCCCAGACTCGGCCCACTGGGGGTGTTGGGAAAGCCGCCCCTTCAGCCCGGCGGACGGAGGGTCCGTTCCAGATGTTGGGCAGTGCCCCTCATGCTTAGTGCAGAACGGGGGCCCTCAGTTTCCCATGGAGATGCTCCTGAGCACACCCGGAGTCCCGTCTGCACGGCCCGATGGCCTGTGAGTTCGAGTGTCTGCTCTCCACCGCCAAGGAGAGCCTGCGGGTGGCTGCTCGGTGTTCCGTGGGAGCTTGGCGGACACCGCCATGGCCTGTCTGTGAGTCAGCTTTGTAGGCACCACGCAGGCCAAGCTGGACTGTCTTGAGGGGGGATCCCATGCTGCAGTGGGGGGCGGCCTGCACCCCCTCCCTGCCCACCAACCTTCTGCTCCCTCCTCAGAATGCTGAAGGCTCACCTGGGGGCCGACAAGCCAGCGGAGACAGAGCCGAGCTGCCCAGAGGATGGCGGGGCCAGGCCCCACCCCGAAACAGCGGCTGGGTGCTCCCCAGAGGACGGCAGGGCTGAGGACATGCTGGTGAGCGGGGCACAGGCCCGGGGGTGCAGGCCTGCGGGGTGCAGACACAGGGGTTACAGCCCTGAAGGATGCAGGCTTGGGAGTGTGCAAACCTCGGAGGTGCAGGTCCAGGGGGTGCACAAACCTCAGAGGTACAGGTCCAGGGGGTGCAGGCCTGAGGGGCGGTGCTGGCCTGGGTGGATAAATGGGGGTGCAGACCCAGGGGGTACAGCCCTGGAGGGGTGTAGGCCTGGAGGATGCAGGCTCAGGGAGGTGCACACCTGGGGGTGAAGGGCCAAGGGATGCAGACCTGTGGGGCGCTGACCCAGGGGGTACAGCCCTGGAGGGGTGCAGTTCTGGAGGATGCAATGGGGGGTGTGCAAACCTTGGGGGTTCAGGTGCAGGGGAGCATACCCAGGGGGTACAGGCCTGGGGATGCAGGCCTGGGTGTGTAAATGGGGGTGCAGACCCAGGGGGTGCAGGCCTGGGAGGCTCCGTCCTGGTGTTGACCCTCTCTTACCAGTCCTTGCCCGACTGTGTCCAGGGGACCCAACTCTGGAATGCCCCTGCTCCTCACCCTCCCTTCGTGACCTTCAGGTTCTGTGTGGGGAAAGTAACCGGGGTCTGGAGGACAGGGAACCATGCCCAGGCTTCTGGGGCCTTGTCAGCCCACCCCTGTGCCCAGAAGCTCTGTGGCATCAGCCTTCATGAACTTGGTGTTTTTAGAATAATTCCTGCAGGTGAGGAGAAGAAGAATACGAATTTAATTCACTATGGAAATGCAATGACTTTCCCACTGTTTCTAGAAGAAAATGAGAGAATGATATAATTACTAGTTTCCTCTCAAATTGTGTTATTTTTTCCTTTTAATAGTTAATTTGCAAGTGTGATGTTTATTTTTTGGAGGTAATCTCTATAAAAGGAAAATATCTTTCTCAAGTTCTAGAGTTTTTTAAACTTAATTTTTCTGTCTTCTAAGTCACTCTACTAAACTGTTTCTAAAGTAGGCAAATTAATATCTTGTTTTCTGAAAACAGCTTTTATTCTTATATACAAAGAACGTTTCCTTTGTTATGCCCAACAGCTTATAGTTCTTTCTTAAAAAGATAATTTCCATCCACTTTTAAAAAAGCATATTTATTTCTTTACTTACCTATTCTTGTTTTTGCTGTGCATGGGCTTTCTCTAGCTGTGAGGAGCAGGGCCTGCTCTAGTTGCAGTCCACGGGCTTCTCGCCGCGACGGCGTGTCTCGCGGCAGAGCCCAGGCCCGGGGGAGCTCAGCCTTCAGCAGCTGTGGCGCGTGGGCTCAGCAGTTGTGCCTCACGGGCTCTAGAGTGCAGGCCCAGCAGTGGTGGTGCTCGGGCTTAGTTGCCCTCTGGCATGAGGGGTCTCCCTGGACCAGGGACTGATGCAGCGTCCGCTGCACAGCAAGGCGGATTCGTAACCACCAGACCTCCAGGCAAGCCCCTTATATTTCTAATTTTGAAGTCTGTTTGTATCTTAACATGGAAAGCTGGACATAACTGAGTGAAGAAGTGCAAAGCAACAACTCACATCAATTCCCCGTGTTTTATTCTCCGCACTGAGTGTTCTGTGTGCAGGTTTCCCCTCTCAAAGCAATGGCCCGAGGGCACTTTGTGTCATCATGTTAGAGGAGCAGAAGCTGAAGCCCAGAGAGGTTAAGTGCCTTTCCTGAAGTCACACAGCAAGGAAGGGGGCGCAGCCAAGGTCACGGTCTGGGTCTGAATCCCTTCAATGCTCACGCTGTCCAGTCCAGGCTGTCCTGACCCCTCAGGATAAGATGAGGTGGGAAGAAGCGAGACCCCTTTCAGCCTCTTCTGCCCCAGGAGTGTTTTAGCAGGAGGATAAGCCTCCTGAGCTGGTAGTGTCACGTGGACGTGACTTGGCGGAGACGGACAGAGGTCTCCTGGCTGCATCGCGCCCAGCGGCCGCGGGCTCCTGACAGTGGTCCTTGCTCTCTCCCGGCGCAGCGGCTGCAGCAAGAGTTCTCGGGGCTCCGAGAGGAGTTCAGGAGGCAGGAGGCCCGCTGGGCAGCCACGCACCGTGAGCTCCGGGCCCAGATGGACGCGCTGGTGAAGCAGAACCTGGAGCTGTGGGCCAGGTTGAGGGCCTCGGAGAGGCGGCGCCTGGAGGCCAAGCGGAGCGCGGCGGGCTCGGTGCACGTGAGAAGATGCTCAGACACTCAGGTACCGGGGCCTCTGTTTGCTGGCCCAGAGCATCTCCCCCAGAGCTGCGTGCTTGGCGTTGGGCGGCCATGGCACTTTCCATGCAGGAGACAGGGGGCTTGCCTCCTCTGGCCAACTCCACACCCCATGAGCAACCAGTTCAGTCGGGAGGGGACAGGGCGTTCACGGGGGCCCCGCGCGTCTGTCTGCAAAGACATCTGCCAACACCAAGCAACAGCACGTGGGATGCTGCCCGGGTTTACGGGGGCGGTCTGTGCTTTCTGCCCCTGTCGACCCCTGCCACGACCCCCGAGGTGGGTCTGTCCTACCCCAGGGATAGTCACGTGGCTGGGGAGCCCAGAGTCTAGACTCGGACCAGCTCGCTGATTCCAGAAGCAGCCCATGGGCCTCAGGGCCGCTCTGTCCATGCCGGGGGACCGCTTAATGGAGAGGTGGGAAAGTGACCACCCTGCTTCCCTGCACGCGGCGCCCGGCTTCCACGTGCGGGTGGCACGGCTGAGCATAGGCAGCAGAGACGGTGGGGTGGCCCGGACTTGGTGCTGTGTTGGCAAGTGCATCTACAGAACTGGACCCTTCGAGCTGTACTTGCAGGAGTCAGCAAGAAACCATGTAAACAGCTCGAAATGTAACTGGGGGTTTCCTCTAGCAGATTAAGGGAAGCGCCAACACTTCTTGTCTGCACGCACTGTGTGCTTCTGAGCCTGTAGTTCAAGGACTTGAAACTGAAAAATGAAGTTGCTCAGTCATGTCAACTCTCTGTGACCCCAGGGATGATACAGTCCTTGGAATTCTCCAGGCCAGAATACCGGAGTGGGGAGACAGTCCCTTCTCAGGGGATCTTCCCAGCCCAGAGATCGATCCAGGGTCTCCCACTTTGCAGGCGACTTCTTCACCAGCTGGGCCCCCAGGGGAGCCCAAGGACTTGGGGTATCTCTGATACCCTCCCTCTCTCATCTCCCTTTCTCATCTCTATCTCTCATTTTCAGCTCTTGTACTTGGCGGGCTTCCAAACACCCCTTAAATCTGTGCACAGTCCCCGTCACAGGGTCCTGGGGTTACTTAGAGGGACCAGGCCTGCCCTCCAAAGTACACACCTGATCTGAAGGGAACAGACACACATGTGAAATGCACCTTAGGTGCACATAGGTACATCTGTGTGCAGACACGACTTCAGGGACAGAAGATCAGAAGGTCAGCGGCCTCAAGGTCAGTGACCACTCATGAGCACACTGGACCAGCCTCCCCTCACCCCCCACACCCTCGCCCCTTCCCCGCCCAGCCCTCCTCTGGGCTGAATGGTGAGTAACTTAGAATACTTCCTCCCGCCTGAGGGATAGGGCCGCTTGCTTCAGATCTGGGAGGCGACGGCTCTCCCAATTCCGATCTGAGATAAACTGTGAGTGACACTAGAAATGGGGTCACGTTCTTCCTTCTTGAATCCTTTCTCAGCTGAAGACACACAGCTCAAGGAAACAAATTAGGTGTTGGTTTTGTTGCCTTGGGGATCTCGGGATATTTTCAAACAGTGAGCCATGACATCCCCATGTTTGGGATGTGGTGTGTGTTCCTGGAGAACCTTCCACACGTTGAGGGGAGAATCCCACCCCGGTCCCCCACTTGGCATCCCTGTTTTTTCCCTAAGACACTGTAGTTACTATTGAATGGATTAAATGTGCATTTCTCTCACAGTTACTGTACCTCAGGAGATGTGACCTCGCTTCCTGAATTTTCTGTGTGATAAATTGTCTTAGGTGTCAGAGTCTACTGTCGGAAAAACGTCCCCTCTGCCAGCTGATGCAGGGATAACGCCGAAACATGCTGGCCGAAGTCACAGTGCAGCGCTCCTAGGACTGCCGTCAGGGAAGGTAACTTCCACCAGCTGGACTCTTGGGTTTGTCCTCTGTGAAAGGACGCCAAGGCTGGGTACCCAGGCCCACGTGTCCCTGCAGCGTCCCGGGGGGACCCTGCCTCCTTGAGGGATTGCCTCCTGGTAAAGCAGGGTTCCCCTCTCTTGCCGCAGTCTCCCTGGGGCCCGAGGGCCGAGGGCCTGGCAGGGAGCTGGCCACGGGCGGGAGGGCCATACACCTGGGTCTGGGCTGTATTTCCAGCGATCCAGCCGCGGGTCGGGGCCCAGGTGACCACAGCTGTGACCCTGTCTGGCTCATCCTCGTGTGTTCCTGCAGCCGTCGCGTCCCCTTGTGGCTTGTGCCCTGGACTCTCTCCACGCACAGCTCACGCTGCTGTCTGGGGGCCTCCTGCGGGGTGTTATTTTATCTCAGCTGCATTTTCCTGGCTAAGGGCAGCCCCTCTTTAGTCCATCTTACCAGCAACATATTTGCTACTTCAGTTCTGAGGCGTCGTCACACCTGGAGGCCAGCATCGGGTAGTGGGGTGACTCGGGCAGAAAGCCCCCGACTCCTGGGGTTGGCCTGGTGTCCTGCCCTCCTGCCCCAATGCCTATACTGAGCAGAAAATATTTTATTCCTTGAAGGAGGGTCTGGGCTCTCCTAATCCAGGTGTTTATTAAAAGGTGGAAAGCTGTCTTTTTCGGGTCATTGGGGTGGGGAGTGTCCAAAGCTCCAGCGCTGTGTGGAGTTGCTGGTTTGCTTTGGAATGAAGCCTTCTCTTATGTTCTGTATTGAACTGATTTAATCAATGCATGTGCAAGTGAAGAACTGGTGTGCTCACACCACAAAGCTATCAATTTTCGAATAAGGCAAAGGATAGAAAAAATTTCTGTTGCATGTTTTAAAATTCAGTTTTGAGCAATTTCTTTTGCCATAATAGCAAATCTCTTCTAGACAATCAATGCTAACTTTCTTTGATTCCATGTGAACACGGGCTAGCATGTGGGAGACTAGATACACCAAGAATTCTGCTTTGCAGCCTGTGCAAAACAGGGCTAGAACAGCCTAGCATGAGGTTTTTGCCGATATTTTTGGATAATTATTGTCATTAATGCAAAAGTAGTCCCATGTTCATTTTCAGCCAATAAGCAGAGAGACAGAGAAAACTGACTCAGGGAAACCGATACCATGTGAAGATGGCGATAAGACTCTTTCCAGAAATCTTCAAGACAGACATGCAAAGCCTCCTGAGAGGGAACAAGCCTCTGAAGAAAGGCCAGCCCTGTCTGAGGATGCAAAGGTAGCACTGGGGAGTAGTGAGAGTTTGTACTGCTTATGCTGAAAGTCTAGGTTTAGATGGAATTCCACTACGTCTAAAAAGAATACTCAATTTATCATTCTAAATAGTTTAAATTTATTAAGAATAATTATATTTTCATATACTAATGAATATTATTTGACTTTAATGCTAAAAAAGTAAATGAATGGAGCTGATTATCATTTTCTCTGTTGTGCTCTGTGTTTTCCTGCACCTAAACACGGCCCCTTGAATAACTGACTCAATGGACATGAGTTTGGGTGAACTCTGGGTGTTGGTGATGGACAGGGAGTCCTGGCGTGCTGCAGTCCATGGGGTTCCAGAGTCGGATACGACTGAGCGACTTAACTGAACTGAACTTACTGTATAGCAGACATTGAGAAACATTACAAACCAACTATACCTCAATAGAATACATTTTATTTTATTTTTTAAGCAGTTATTTATAGGCATGTGAGAACTAAGATAATTTACCCAAATCAACTATTTTTAAATAAATTTAGTCATTTTAGTTGGAGGCTAATTACTTTACACCGTTGTAGTGGTTTTGCCGCACATTGACATGAATCAGCCACGGGTGCACATGTGTCCCCCATCCTGACCCCCCCACCCTCCTCCCTCCCCATCCCATCCCTCTGGGTCTTCATCCCAGGGTACCGGCCCTAAGCACCCTGTCTCATGCATCGAACCTGGACTGGCGATCTTCTTCATGTATGATAATATACATGTTTCAATGCCATTCTCCCAAATCATCCCACCCTTGCCCTCTCCTAGAGTCCAAAAAACTATTCTATATATCTGTGTCTATACATAGAATACATTTTTAAAAAAATAGCCCCTAAAAATAGAACTGTCATATGACTCAGCACTCCCACTCCTGGGCACACATCCACAGAAAATCATAATTTGAAAAGGTACACACACCCCAGTGTTCATAGCAGCACCGTTTACAACAGCCAAGACCCGGAAGTAACCTAGATGTCCTTCAACAGAGGAAGGATAAAGACGATGTGGCACATACATACAGTGGAGCTTCATTCAGCCATAAAACAAATGAAATAAGGCCATTTGCAGCAACATGCATATAACCAGACATTATCCTACTAAGTAAAATCAGATGGAGAAAGACAAATACATACGATGATATCACTTACATGTAGAATCTAAATTATGATATAAATGAACTTACACTCGAAATAGAAATAGACCCACATACATAGAAAACAAACGTATACTTACCAAAGAGGAAAGGGTATGCAGAGGGATAAATTAGCATTAACATGCACACACCACTGCAGATAAAACGGATAAGGAACAAGGACCGGCTGCCTAGCGCGGGGAACTCTGCTCCATATCTTGTAATAACCTAAAAGGGAAAAGAAGCTGAAAAAGAACACAGATATTTAACTGAGTCACTTTACACCTGAAACTAACATAGCACTGTCAATCAACTCTACGTCAATAACGACAACAACAAAAATAATATGACAAAAAAAAAAAAAGTTCCTTCTTGCAGGGCTGGGCTCAGGGCTGCCGGCAGAGTCCTCGGACGATTTGAAAACGCTGACAGCGGAAGGGTTTTCTGTGGCGTGTCGTTTGCAGTCCTGAGGGCTGCAGCTGAGCAGGCCTGTGGACTCTGAGCCCGTCCTTGCCCCTAGGTGCTCCAACAATCACCCCAAAGTCTGCAGAAATGGAGCGGCAGGAGGTCCCCAGCACCAGCTGCTCTTGAGGTCGCCCCCCAGGACCACCGAGCCAAGGACAACCCGGGTGAGCCTCCTGGAGCGGGTTTTTCCTCGGCGTTGCTGTTGGCTCCCAGACGTCGGTTTCATTATCCTGTTAGCGTTTTATTATCCTGAAGATCTTCCCGGGGCGAGCGCCTGTGTTTCTCAGCAGGTCATCCACCCTGCTCTGACCCTCTTCTCCGGTTCCCTCGCCGGGCCCCCTCTGCCAGTCTTCCCCGCACACCCTGCTCTCCCCACACACGCAGAGCTGGTCCTGGGGGCGGGCGGTCCCGCCACCTGGATGGGACCGTCCCCGCCCGGTTTCTGAGCTCGGGGCTCTCAGCATAGCTGAGCTGGGTGACTCTGGCTCCGGGTCCCAGCAGCAGGACCAGAGAGCCCTGAGCTCTGGACGTGTTGGGGAGCCCTTCCCGAGTCACCTTCAGACCCACGTGCGGACCTGCCGCCCTAAAGCCCGCCTCTGTGCTGGCCAGAGCCCTGAGGGTGGGGCCTTTGTGTGGAGCATGAGCTGCGGGGGCCTCGGGCACCGAGAACTCAGCGGGACAATCAGGATCGCCTGACTTCCGGAGACCTGACCCTCGCACTTAGCTGTCTGTCCCCCCCCCAGTCCTCCTGGCAGGACCCCCGGCCTTGCTATCTCAGAGCCCGCCCTCGGCCCAGGTGGACGCAGGCTCCCGCCCTGCGCTGGTCCTCTGGGTCCGCCCGGCGGTCTCCCCACAGACCAGGCTGGCTATTCATCCCCCCAAAGGTCGATGCCGGTGGCCCCTCGCCCCCCAGAGGACCCTGCGGGCCAGGCCCGACCCTGCTCCCCCAGCCTCAGTTTACCTGCTGGTGCTTCTTGCTGCTGACTTGCCGAGTAGGACAGCCCCCACCCCACCCAGCTTCCACCTCCAGTCCTGTCTCCCCTGACGAGCGTGGTGCCGTCTTGGAGACACGTTCCCTGACTCCTGGGACCGAGGGGGCGCTCACCCCCGGCGACCTCTGCCCAGCAGACCTGCCACCGTGGGGTCAGGTTTTTCTCTCCTAGCACCCATCTGCCGGCTGGCTCACTCGCAGCTCCAAGGCAGACAACAGGTCTTTGGATTCCATCACCTGAGCCATCTTAATATGCAGGAAAGGGTGAATATATTCTTTAAATGGGCTTCTCAGGTGGCGCTAGTGGTAAAGAGCCTGCCTGCCAGTGCAGGAGAGGTAAGAGACATGGTGTCGATCCCTGGGTCGAGAAGATCCCCTGGAGGAGGAAATGGTAACCCACTCCAGTGTTCTTGCCTGGAGGATCCCATGGACAGAGGAGTCTGGTGGGCAGCAGTCCATAGGGTCTCAGAGTCGGACATGACTGAAGCGAGTTAGCACACATATTCTTTAAACAGCTCATGCTTCTTGCATGATCAGCTGAACCCGTGTCTGCATAATGGATCCTCTGTTTGCATGTTGATCTCGTGAAGGAAAGAGAACGTGTTCACAGTCAGTTTACGTGGGACTTGGGACCCAGATGAGGATAATGTGGTTTTGAGACGTGTGTGCACTGCTCTCTCAACCTCACGTTCTTGCTCCGCAGACACACGCTCCTTGCCCTCCGGGAGGGACGCAGGCAGGCCCCGCGCCCGGACCCCGATGGATGAGCCCATGTGTCCCTCGCCAGGCATCTCCGAGGAGCCACAGGTGGGTGGGGTGAGGGGGTGCAGCCCCCATCACTGGGAGGGACACCCCCTCTGTCTTCATGGGGAGAACAGAGAACAATGATGATTCCAGATGCCCCTCCCAACCTGCGGAAGGGCTGCAGCCTTACCAATAGGTAGAAACATTTGTTCTAGCTTTCTCTTGGATGCATTTAGCACGTTGTCAAAATAAGAGCGATAATTTTCCATCACTTGAGTTCTCAAATTAAGTTTTATATAATAGCTTTACTTATAATTTTTAACCATAACTATTAATAGTAAAATCAAAGGCAAATATAGCGTAATTACCTCCAACTGCTAGCTAACAATCTGCTTATTATATGCTGTATTTAAAACAAGAATAAGTAGTAGTATTCAGCTCACTCAGTTCAGTTGCTCAGTCATGTCTGACTCTGCAACCCCATGGACTGAAGCACGCCAGGCCTCCTTGTCCATCACCAACTCCCGGAGTCCACCCAAACCCATGTTTACTGTGTCAGTGATGCCATCCAACCATCTCATCCTCTGTCATCCCCTTCTCCTCCCACCTTCAATCTTTTCCAGAATCAGGGTTTTTCCAATGAGTTGGTTCTTCTCAAGAGGCTCTTTAGTTCTTTGATTTCTGCCATAAGGGTGGTGTCATCTGCGTATCTGAGGCTATTGATATTTCTCCCGGAAATCTTGATTCCAGTTTGTGCTTCATCCAGCCCGACATTTCACATGATGTACCGTGCATATAACTTAAATAAGCAGGGTGACAACATACAGCCTTGATGTACTCCTTTCCCGATTTGAAACCATTATGTTGTTCCATATCCAGTTCTAATTGTTGCTTCTTGACCTACATACAGGTTTCTCAGGAGGCAGGTCAGGTGTCTGTTATTCCCATCTCTTTAAGAATTTATAATTTTCTCCATGGAAGGAAATTTGGGCTTGAACGTATTTATGGTGTAAAAGTTGTTGTGGTCGTTTAGTCACTATGTCATGTCTGACTCTTTGTGACCCTCTGGACTGTAGCCCGCCAGGCTCCTCTCCATGGAATTCTCCAGGCAAGAATACTGGAGTGGGTTGCCATTTCCTCCTCCAGGGGATCTTCCCGACCCAGGGATCGAACCCACACTCCTGCATTGCAGGCAGATTCCTAACCATCTGAGCCACCAGGGGAACCCAACAACAGCAGCGCGGTGTAGAAGAAGGGAGCCGAGAGAGAACTTCCCTCCCCTCCTCCCGAGAACAGCCCGCATTCTGTTCTGCCCTTTCTGACGTCGTATGTAAGGTGCTAAGAGGTGACACTTTTCTCTGGCTTTCACTTAGTTTGGACCCTTACTCACGGGTTCATCTCAACTCCTCAGAAGGAACCCCACCAGCTCTGGGTGGGGGCCAACGTCTCCATCAGGAGGTGCCTCATTACCTGCTGTCCGTCACTCGGTCATCCTGGCCCAGATCAGACAAACAGGGATGCTGGGGACATGCGCCTTCATAAAAGCCCAGAACACAGCCCTGGATAGGGTGCGGGGCTGACCCAGTGAGGTGTGGTGGCAGCGGTCCTAACCACGGTTTCCATGGAGACCTCAGATACTTTGATGCTCTTTGCACAGGATCTTCCTGTAGAACCAGAGTCGCCCCCACATGCATCTCAGCATGAGGACACCGAGATAAAACAGGAGGAGGAGGGGGAAGTCCAGCACCCCGAGGACAAGGTAGGCGGTGGTACGGCTGCCCATCTTCCCAGGCCAAGCTCCTGGGCTGACAGTCTGTCTCCAGTAAGCAAAGCCACGCGCTTCCCAGAGGAAAACAGATTTAAACATAATTTGTCTTGTATTGCCTGGAGTGTCTCCTTGCTCCACATTTTGACCCTTGAGAAGAGTCTCAGTTCCTGAAGGTCACATCCATGCAGAGGGCAGGGGTGGGGGGTGTGGGGGGCAGGGCTCTCAGGAAGTGGGTGGAACAGTATGGCCGCTGCTGCAGCCCCAGACGTCCCGTGGGCTCTGACAAATATTCACTGATGCCCAAATGACCACCCAGACCTGCATTCAACTGACGGCATTTTGAGCTGGTCGTCGGCCTGTGGCAAGCTCGGAGTCTGGCTCATTCTTGCTTGTTGAATTACCTCTGGCCTAGGTGAAGATGGACCCATGCTCTTTAGGGTCAGGAAGATCCCCTGGAGAAGGGAATAGCTATGTACTCCAGTATCATTGCCTGGAGAATTCTGTGGACAGAGGAGGCTGGTGGGCTGCAGTCCTTGGGGTCGCAAAGAGTTGGACACGATTGAGGGTCTAGGCCTGAGCACAAGCAGGACTGAACAGAACATAACTTCCCTTCCTTGTCTGGCCGGTTTGGGGCCAGGGTGATGGCGCAGCCTTGGCTCCGACCGCAAAGCGGAAGGCCACTGTGTTGGCCAGCAGAGTGTCCACCGTAATTCGTTTGATGGATTTTGCTCCGGGTATTTTCAGAAGCCAATGTTAGCTTTCATTTCCTCTGTATTTTCTCTGTTGAATTGCTGCTGTATTTCTGAGCTATGGTAGGAGTAATAAGGCCATAAATTAGCCATAACACATTTTACTAATTGGAAAATATGCACAAATATTAACTCCCAAAATTCTGATATTATTTGTCAGTTTTCCCCTTTCTGTTCATTTTTATCATGAACAATGTTTTCAAGGGGAAGAAATAGATATTCTTTTCTAAATTTCTAGTTCAGCATGATGGATATGAAGCTATATAATATTTGCCAATGGTTAATTGAAATCAATAAACATTCCAGACAGAGTAGTGTATGCATCAACAAGATGGGGTAGAAACAAAAGAAAAATGTGAAAAGAATATGTTTAAACAGTAATTATTGTATTTACAAGGCCTAGGATTTCCAAATTTACCAAATTCAATGACTATGAAATAGCTAGTGTGTGTGTGCATGCGCATGTTCGCGTGTGCACACGTGTGTTCAGTTGATCGGTCGTGTCTGAGTCTTTGCAACCCTATGGACTGTAGCCCACCAAGCTGCTCTGCCCATGGAATTCTCCAGGCAAGAACACTGGAGTGGGTTGCCACGCCCTCCTCCTGGGGATTTTATCTAGACTGATAATAATTTGATAATCTAGGCACATCTACATAACATGGCCTTAAGGAAACCAGATATTTGTAAGGCAAATCATATCATTTTTTACTCATAACCAAATTCAGGGTGGGGATTTGGCACTGATCAATTTAGTGAGACTTTTCATGGAAATGTTAACAGTTGGTGTCTATGATGCCACCCAGGCAGTAGGCTTATAACAGTTCTGAACAGAAGGAAAGATCATGAAACCACAGCAGTGAGACTTTAAGTAATTTTCCATCTCAGAACTCTTGTGTTTCCGTCAAGGGGGGACAGGCACTCAGGGACACCTGTAAAATGGACACTTTCTCAAAAGGCACCGAGGAGGATGTGTGTGCTGACAAGAAGGCCGCCGCCCCACGGCGTTCTAACCGGGACGTGTGGGAGAGCCCACCAGACACCAGACTGGTGTGCACAGCCACACGTCGGTCTTGAAAAAACCAGACCCCACCCGCTTATTAGGAAAGTTTCTGTTCATGGTCACCCTCTTCCTTGGGGGCTCAAGGAGGAAGCTAGAAAGTGGGAAGGTGCCAGGCTTTCACTGGGGGGGCTCTGCTGCCTACTGGGTGCTCTTGGGCTGGTGAGATGCTCAAGTCAATGAGAAACTCGGGATTCCACACCAGAGAGGGAGTAGCCGCCAGCCCCCTTCCAGCCGTGAGTTCTGACTCCATCATTCAGGCACTGGTCAGCCCTCTAAGCCTCTGTAACATGAGCGTCACTTGCTGGATGGTGATGAAGAGCAAGTGACACAGGGCGTAACCTGTGCAGCAAACAGTGCCTGTGTTTACTAACCTGTGTTTGTAAACTCAGTAGTCAACACTTAGCGAAAGTGCCTTAATTATAGAATTAATGTCAGTACTGCAGCAGACTTAGGCAGAGAACTCAGTCCTAGTGTGAGCTGGAGGTCAAATGGAAGGGGATGTTTTCTCTTTTCTTCAGTTGGATGGCTTTTGCACAGTCTGGTTGACCCTTTCTGAGGGTGAACGTTGGAGTGCTAAACTATTTCCCTGCCAGGTGAGCTCTCATTGGTCTGAGTTAACCTACAGGTCCCCTTTTACTTGCAAACCAAGGCAAACAGGAGAGTCTGGAAGAACCTGTTTGGAAGGTGGCCTCTCATTTTGTCACAGCTATTGGTATTGATCTCATAATCTACCCAACCCTTCGCACTTTGAACTCTGAGTTTCCCTGATGTTGGGGTAATAGATAGTTGTTTCTTAGCCAGACTCAGGAGGGGGTGGAGACGCAGAGACCAAGGATGGGTGTAGACGCTCGGTGTAGATGGTAGGTGTAGATGGTGAAGATGAGCNGGGTGGAGACGCAGAGACCAAGGATGGGTGTAGACGCTCGGTGTAGATGGTAGGTGTAGATGGTGAAGATGAGCTGCTGGATCGGCTTGCTGTGTGGTCATGGGGAAGTCACGGGGTGGGGGGAGGGGGAGGATGACCCCAGGGCCCCTGCTGGGCGAACACTGCGCTCTTCCTGCCTCCCTCCGGTCTCCAGGGAGGCCTGGCCTCTGAAACTAGGTTGGACTTCATAATTACTGTGATGCTGGACAAATAAGCCTTCTCTCTGCTTCCGCTCACTTTGGGACAGACGATCCATGTAAGAAGACTCACTTCAAAACAAGAAAGCACCGCAGTCCCTCGAACCTCGGTAGCACAGTTTTCCAAATAATTCAACTTTACTTAAATAGTTCCCTCCACGGGTTCATTCTCTCAGCCTCTTTTCCTGACGAGCAGAGATGCTCAGGATGACCGGCACCAGCTGACCGGGCCAGACCCTCAGAGCTCGGAGTAGACCGAGATTTCTTCCTCCCAAGTTCTCACTTTGAAAACAAGCCCATCCGTTAAACAGCCTTTTGTATCTGTAGCCTTCCTTCCTTTAACCTGCCCTCCCTGCTGCGTGGCTCAGGCACACCCAGCTTAGCCCAGGGACACCCGAACAACAAGCCTCTCCCCGTCCTCTCCTGCACTTTCCCACCTGGTCCTCCTACACTTGATCGGAAGCCAAAGGAGTCCCCATATCTGAGAAGCTCACAGTCACGGGACCTGTTGAAAAGGCAGAGAGGTGCAGACGGATGCCCACAGGGGAGCGTGTGTGTCACCCGGAGCCGGGCGGTGAGCTTCTCCGTGGCAGGGATCACAGCCCACACTCACCGAGCTCGCCACGAAGTAGGGGGGATCTAGATGGCTACGGATCTCCCCAAGGCTGCCCAGCTTGGGCAGGTTCCAGGTTCCGGAGCCCGCCCGGGTGAAGGGCTGAGGGCCACCTCTGGGCCCACTGACCTCCCGGACTAACGAGGCAGCTCAGTTGCCTTCATTTGGGGGCTTCGATGTCCAGCTCCTCTTCCAAAGCCCTACTTCCCTTCCCACGCACAGCTCAGGCCTCCGCCTGCAGGAAGCGCTCCGCTCGATTCAGAGGTTAAACCCAGGCTCAGAGTGACCCCCGGACGGCATCCCAACACAGGGGTTTCTGGTGCTTGCAGACACACTCTGCCGGGGCTCAGACAGTACGTACGGCACATCGCCGGCCTCTGGAAGTCGGGCGCGTTCCCAACAAGCAGACAGGTGAGTGATGCCAGAGCACCTCCGGGGAGAGGTGCTGGCCGTGGGCAGGAGACGCCCAGGGCGCTGTCTGGGGAAAGGTTAATTCTACCAGCTGTGGGCACTGTTAGAGCAAATTCTCCATGCAGACGTCAGCCAGATGACTTGGCAATTAACTCACTTAATAAAAGCCCTTTTCATACTGTTCCTGGGGTTCACAAGGCAAGAACGCTGAAGTGGTTTGCCATCCCCTTCTCCAGTGGGCCACGTTTTGTCAGAACTCTCCTCCATGACCTGTCCATCTTGGGTGGCCCTACACGGCATGGCTCACAGTTTCATTGATTTAGGCAAGGCTGTGGTCCATGTGGTCAGTTTGGTTAGTTTTCTGTGATCGTGGTTTTCATTCTGTCTCCCTTCTGATGGATAAGCCTCAGAGCTTGTGGAAGCTTCCTGATGGGAGGGACTGGCTGTGGGGTGAACTGGGTCTTGCTCTGGTGAGTAAGACCATACTCAGTAAACCTTTATTCAATTTTCTGCTATTGGGTGGGGCTGTGTTCCCTCCCTGTAGTTTGGCCTGAGGTCAAACTATGGTGGGGTAGTGGCATCACAGACTCAGTGGACATGAGTTTGAGGAAGCTCTGGGAGGGAGACGATGATGGACAGGGAAGCCTGGCGTGCTGCATTCCATGGGGTCACAAAGAGTCAGACACGACTGAGCGACTGAACAACAATAATAACAATGAAAACTGCCCCTTTCCTTATTCTTATCAGATGACTGTGAGCCCGCCTCTCCAGCCTGGCCCCTGGAGAGACACCTGTGGACCTCGGTCAGTGGGCTTGCAGTCAGCTTTTCCACCTGGTCCTGTCAAGCATCAGGGGCAAAGTCACCAGCCACGAGGCCTGACGCTTAGCTTTGCACCTTCATCCTCTTAAAAGGTCAAATTCTTTTCCCAAGTTTACATGGACTCTGGAATGCAAAGCTCGGGTTAAAACCTGAGAAATCCGGCCTTGTGAATTTGCTTCACCTATGATCTAATTTTATCGTTCATTATTTTGAATCCCTATATTTTGCATATTAATGATGTGAATATCCTCAGAGGACCTGGCTCTCTAAATGGTACGAGCTAGTGGACAAACCTCCCATTTAGCATCATCTCCACCATCCGCAAGCTCCGGGAGATAGTAAAGGACAGGGAAGCCTGGCATGCTGCAGTCCACGGGGTCACAGAACGGGACGTGACTGAGTGATTAAACAACCACCATCAGCATTACAGCCAGAACTTTGAGAATTTTGCCTCTGGAGTGGATTTTTAAGAGAGTGTTCAGATTGCATCTCCAAGGTCTTTCTTGCCGCCTATAGCTACTGAGGCTCTGTGTGAGATGGGCATTTCCATCTTCTTGAGTTGCTGCTCTTGCTGTTGAAGCTAACAAAGTCCTGATCCTGCGCTGAGCTTTGTAGATTTCCAAAAGATTGTCCCTGGGATGGCTTTACTGCAGCCGGTTAGCCTCCACCCCATTATGGGGCTGACTGTCTCCAGAGCCGTCATAGAAGGAGGGTCAGACTTGGGTCACCATCTTGGCTCCTTTGCATAGTGTCCCTTCCTGATCTGGGACCGATTTGAAAATAGATCCCCCTCTGGGTTGGACACTTCCCATGTGCCATCATTTTATATCCTTCCTGACCACTGTACATGGTTTCACAGCTGTCCTGAGAAAGGGTGGAATTATAACATGCTCTCTGTGGTCACCGGGACCGTAGGTCCAGTTTGTGAACACCCATCAACGTCTGCATTGAAGGAGCAGGGTCCCTGATGAATGAGCCAGTGATGGCTTACCTGTTCAATTCAAGAGGTTCATTGCTTTGTCTTTATACTTTCCAACCAAAAAGTTATTTCCTATTTGTCAAGTGTTTCAAATCCTGTTGTTCCTTACACATAATTGGAGGTGGTTTAGCACTGCCCTCAGCTTTTCAAAACAAAGATGCTGAAATGATACCAAACCAAGGCGTCCTTCCCTCACTAAGGAGGAAACTCATCTCTCTGATGAGCCCGCCCGGGTGAAGGGCTGAGGGCCACCTCTGGGCCCACTGACCTCCCGGACTAACGAGGCAGCTCAGTTGCCTTCATTTGGGGGCTTCGATGTCCAGCTCCTCTTCCAAAGCCCTACTTCCCTTCCCACGCACAGCTCAGGCCTCTGCCTGCAGGAAGCGCTCCGCTCGATTCAGAGGTTGAACCCAGGCTCAGAGTGGCCCCCGGACGGCATCCCAACACAGGGGTTTCTGGTGCTTGCAGACACACTCTGCCGGGGCTCAGACAGTACGTACGGCACATCGCCGGGCTCTGGAAGTCGGGCGCGTTCCCAACAAGCAGACAGGTGAGTGATGCCAGAGCACCTCCGGGGAGAGGTGCTGGCCGTGGGCAGGAGACGCCCAGGGCGCTGTCTGGGGAAAGGTTAATTCTACCAGCTGTGGGCACTTTTAGAGCAAATTCTCCATGCAGACGTCAGCCAGATGACTTGGCAATTAACTCACTTAATAAAAGCCCTTTTCATACTGTTCCTGGGGTTCACAAGGCAAGAACGCTGAAGTGGTTTGCCATCCCCTTCTCCAGTGGGCCACGTTTTGTCAGAACTCTCCTCCATGACCTGTCCATCTTGGGTGGCCCTACACGGCATGGCTCACAGTTTCATTGATTTAGGCAAGGCTGTGGTCCATGTGGTCAGTTTGGTTAGTTTTCTGTGATCGTGGTTTTCATTCTGTCTCCCTTCTGATGGATAAGCCTCAGAGCTTGTGGAAGCTTCCTGATGGGAGGGACTGGCTGTGGGGTGAACTGGGTCTTGCTCTGGTGAGTAAGACCATACTCAGTAAACCTTTATTCAATTTTCTGCTATTGGGTGGGGCTGTGTTCCCTCCCTGTAGTTTGGCCTGAGGTCAAACTATGGTGGGGTAGTGGCATCACAGACTCAGTGGACATGAGTTTGAGGAAGCTCTGGGAGGGAGACGATGATGGACAGGGAAGCCTGGCGTGCTGCATTCCATGGGGTCACAAAGAGTCAGACACGACTGAGCGACTGAACAACAATAATAACAATGAAAACTGCCCCTTTCCTTATTCTTATCAGATGACTGTGAGCCCGCCTCTCCAGCCTGGCCCCTGGAGAGACACCTGTGGACCTCGGTCAGTGGGCTTGCAGTCAGCTTTTCCACCTGGTCCTGTCAAGCATCAGGGGCAAAGTCACCAGCCACGGGGCCTGACGCTTAGCTTTGCACCTTCATCCTCTTAAAAGGTCAAATTCTTTTCCCAAGTTTACATGGACTCTGGAATGCAAAGCTCGGGTTAAAACCTGAGAAATCCGGCCTTGTGAATTTGCTTCACCTATGATCTAATTTTATCGTTCATTATTTTGAATCCCTATATTTTGCATATTAATGATTTGAATATCCTCAGAGGACCTGGCTCTCTAAATGGTACGAGCTAGTGGACAAACCTCCCATTTAGCATCATCTCCACCATCCGCAAGCTCCGGGAGATAGTAAAGGACAGGGAAGCCTGGCATGCTGCAGTCCACGGGGTCACAGAACGGGACGTGACTGAGTGATTAAACAACCACCATCAGCATTACAGCCAGAACTTTGAGAATTTTGCCTCTGGAGTGGATTTTTAAGAGAGTGTACAGATTGCATCCCCAAGGTCTTTCTTGCCGCCTATAGCTACTGAGGCTCTGTGTGAGATGGGCATTTCCATCTTCTTGAGTTGCTGCTCTTGCTGTTGAAGCTAACAAAGTCCTGATCCTGCGCTGAGCTTTGTAGATTTCCAAAAGATTGTCCCTGGGATGGCTTTACTGCAGCCGGTTAGCCTCCACCCCATTATGGGGCTGACTGTCTCCAGAGCCGTCATAGAAGGAGGGTCAGACTTGGGTCACCATCTTGGCTCCTTTGCATAGTGTCCCTTCCTGATCTGGGACCGATTTGAAAATAGATCCCCCTCTGGGTTGGACACTTCCCATGTGCCATCATTTTATATCCTTCCTGACCACTGTACATGGTTTCACAGCTGTCCTGAGAAAGGGTGGAATTATAACATGCTCTCTGTGGTCACCGGGACCGTAGGTCCAGTTTGTGAACACCCATCAACGTCTGCATTGAAGGAGCAGGGTCCCTGATGAATGAGCCAGTGATGGCTTACCTGTTCAATTCAAGAGGTTCACTGCTTTGTCTTTATACTTTCCAACCAAAAAGTTATTTCCTATTTGTCAAGTGTTTCAAATCCTGTTGTTCCTTACACATAATTGGAGGTGGTTTAGCACTGCCCTCAGCTTTTCAAAACAAAGATGCTGAAATGATACCAAACCAAGGCGTCCTTCCCTCACTAAGGAGGAAACTCATCTCTCTGAATTGTAACCCACAGAACCAAAACCACCCTCAATCTAGGCTTGCTGACCATCATGCAAACCACCCCAGTGCGTTCCCTTGTCTAGTTCTCTCACATTTAGGTGGCCACTCTTTTTCTCTCAATGAAATGTGACTAATCACCTCAGAAGGGTGTGTCAAGGACAGCTGGTTATGGGTATTGACTGGGGGCAGAGAACCTCGTGTTCTGTCAAGGATAGTAAGACAGGACAAAATATTTCTATTGGGTGTGTGTGATCCTGGACATGAATCTCAGTCTGAGATTTTTCCCTCTATTTTAGCTTTGCCGATTTAATTTTCTTTATAGGAGTATGACTCCTTTCTTCCGTACAACTCCTATTTAAATGTCCTGATTCTGTGTGAACTAGAGAGGAATGTGAGCTCTTTTGGGCACTGCATTCTGTATTTATCCATTAGAGCAAACTCTTTAACTGTTACTCAGCTCCTTTATTTTTTGTTTGCCCTAAATTAAAAAATATATATTTATTTTAATGTAAGTTTCCTATATGCTCTTTACCCAGATTCACCAAGTTTTAACCTGTTGCCACATCTGCTGTATCATTCTCTGGGTGCGTGTATGTATATATGCAAACATACACATCCATTGTTTATAGGTTCCGTTTCCCTTGGGGATAAGCTGCATATATTAAGATCAGTGCCCCTCTGACCATGAAGACTTCCATTCCTATGACCAGTCCTGTTGGGTTAGGGCTCACCCTGCTTCAGCATGACATCATCTTGCCTAATTCCATGTCCTAATAAGGCCATGCTCTGAGGCGCTGGGGCCAGGACATCAGTACAGGAACTCTGGGGTGGGGGACAGATCAAGCCGTAGCATGCCCCTTGGACTTCTTTTCATTTATTCTGCTTGGAGTAAGCTGGGCCTCTTAGATCTGTGGAGCCACATTTTCGCATCCAGTCTGGGAAATTCAGTCATTATCTTTGATCATATCTGCATTCCTCCACATTCTTTCATTCTTCTTCTGGAATTCCGGTCCGATGCTTTTCCACATCTTTTCTCTCCCCTCGAACATTCTCCATCTGGCCTGACCCCTCAAGTCAACAGGAAACGGTGACAGTGAACTCTACCCTAGTGAGGGTCCAAGGCCTTCAAAGGCCCACCTGCTGTGGGGTGAGTGATGACCTTGGGTCTGGAAAGGCAGGATTTAGGGAGCCAGAGAGCATATGGAAGGAAAGAAAAATTTTAATTAGGGAGATAATTTGAGTGAAGTTGGGAGGATATAAATTATGTATTTTAATGAGACCAGGGAGATGGGCCTGCCTGGAGCAAGATATGCAAATATAAATAAAATATGAGAGAGTAGGATACAAGAGCATCTTGAATACTAGTCCTCTTGGAGTGGATCACTGTAAAATATGTTTATACAGCTAAATAATGCAACAAGTATTCTAGTTATGAAGATCTGTTGACTTAACCTATATTCTTCAGAAAAAGTCTGCTCTGACGGCTCAAAGGAAATCACGTTTCCAGATGGGACGGTGTGGCGTCTGAATGATGGACGCGAGGAGACTGTATTCCCGGATGGGACCATTGTGAGTGTGGAGAGGTTAGTACCGGGAGAGGCGGTGTCAATCTGAAGTCTCCGCAATTTGTGGTTTGTGCAGTTGTCAAGTCTCTGGATTAATTTAATTTTTGTAAAAGTTTCCGTATTTGTATAAATATAATAGAAAACGTCTTTGACCCTAGAGGTTTGGTCTTATGACCTTGATCTGATTGATTTCATAGCGAACATGGATCTAAAAACTCATTTTTAAAAAATATTACTTTTTAATTGGAGGATAGTTGCTTTACAACACTGTGTAGGTTTCTGCCATACATCAACGTGAATTAGCCATATATATACCATGTCCCTTGCCTCTTGAAGCTCCCTCCCACCTCCTACTCCATAAACACTCATTTTTAAGTGTTTCCTTCACTGACATTGGTCATGACTGAATTGCAGCCATAAAAATAGCCTCCGGCGTCTGGTGTGTGCCCACTGAGACCGTGTTGTGTAGCAGCCTGAGCCTGCAGCAGCTCACACGTCAACAACTAAGATGGACGGGGAAGCCCTGACGGGGGACGAGCAGGGAGACCCTGCACCCCCTCCCCTGTGCTGACTCTCAGACCCTAGAGCTCCCCCCTCCCCACAGTGCAGGGGCCCTGTCTTTGGTGGGCTGCTGCCTCCGTGGGTCCCCTCTCCTGTCACGGAAGCCACAAGTGTCGCCATCACTGCCAGAGTCACTGTGCTTGAGTGACTCTACCAGGCTCCTGCCGCTCTCGAGTGATTCTACCTCAGGTCCCCACTCCCCAGGTGGTCCTACCTCAGGTCCCCGCTCCCCAAGTGATTCTCCTAGAGCTCCCCCCTCCCCACAGTGCAGGGGCCCTGTCTTTGGTGGGCTGCTGCCTCCGTGGGTCCCCTCTCCTGTCACAGAAGCCACAAGTGTCGCCATCACTGCCAGAGTCACTGTGCTTGAGTGACTATACCAGGCTCCTGCCGCTCTCGAGTGATTCTACCTCAGGTCCCCGCCCCCCGGGTGGTCCTACCTCAGGTCCCCGCCCCCCGGGTGGTCCTACCTCAGGTCCCCGCTCCCCAAGTGATTCTACCTCAGGTCCCTGCTCCCCAAGTGATTCTACCTCAGGTCCCCGCTCCCCGGGTGATTCTACACCAGGTTCCTGCTCCCCAAGTGATTCTACCTCAGGTCCCTGCCCCCCAAGTGATTCTACCTCAGGTCCCCACTCCCTAGGTGATTCTACTTCAGGTCCCCGCTCCCCAAGTGATTCTACCTCAGGTCCCTACTCCCCAAGTCCCTGGTCCCTACACCAGGTTCCTGCTCCCCAAGTGATTCTACCTCATGTCCCCGCCCCCCGGGTGATTCTACCTCAGGTCCCTGCCCCCCGGGTAGAGCCCAGCAGTCTCTCCTTCCTCCCTCAGAACTACCTTCGGGTGCCCCGTGAGTGACTCTGCCCGAACAGGCCTGCGAGCCCGGCCTCTCTCCTGAGCTCTCCCCAGGGCCGCCCTGAGCCCTGCTCAGCTCCTGTCTATACCCTGACACTGCAGGTGCCTTCGCTGCTCCTGCCCTGGCAGGATCTGTACCCTCATCAACCAAGATCTGGGGTTCAGATGTACAGACCTGGATGGCCACATCTCTTGGCCCCCAGGGGTTCCCCATGGGATGTGCTGGCCACTGATAAGGTTGTTCTCTCCACCAGGAATGGTGACAAGACCATCGTGCTCAGCAACGGTCAGCGGGAGATCCACACGGCCCAGTTCAAGAGGAGGGAGTACCCTGATGGCACCACCAGGACCGTGTACCATGACTGCCACCAGGAGACCAAGGACGCATCTGGGAGGCTCAAGGTCAGGGATGAGGCCGGAAACATCATACTGGACAGGAAGTAGCTTCTCCCTCAAAACGAGCCTTACCCGTGCCCTTCCAATAGCACCTTGACCTTCCGACCTTACCTGTGCCCTTCCAACATTACCCACGACCTTCCAACATCACCTTGATCTTCCAACATTACCTGTGAACTTCCAACATTACCTGTGACCTTCCAACTTATGTGTAACCTTCTGACTACATTATTTGCTAAAAAAAGAAATGACTAATATTTGTGGCCCTATATGATGAAAAGTCATGTAAAACTTGAGGACTACCCAAGTCATCCAGACATTATAAAGGAAGAGACAGCCTGGTCCCCAGGGCTCCTGGTTAGGAAAGGTGGCTGCATCAACACTGGACCAGCCAGACAACAGGAAGCTCCCAGACTATGACACCAGGGCCCCCGGCCAGACCTCTTCCTCTCTGCCCGTCACAAGAACCAGCTCTACACGTGACAGGCAGCCTTCCCTGGGCCCTGGGCGCCTCTTCCTCTGCCTGCAGCTGGCCCCGGCCCTCTCCTCCTGAATTACACCAGCTTAGCCTGACCATCCCGTCCATTATCCTCAGGGCACCAGTGCCCATGACCTTGCTGGGCCACATAAGAAGACAGTTCACGCCACTACAGGAGCACCCACAGGGAGCCTGACCCAGGCTGAGTGACCTGGCCTCATGTCCATGGCTGTGCGGGTGGTAAGCCACCGCCGGAAACTCTGCGTTTTTAAATCTCGCAGTCAAGGCAATGACAGCTGCCTCTTTTATTGTTTTGTAGGCAGCCTAGAAAATAAGACACAAAGTGGCATTTAACTGATTTTTATACTAAAATAGCCCCAAAATACAAGAAAGGAATAATTTCCTGAAAAATCTTATGACGAGATGTTTGTATGTGCTCATGTCTTCATGCGACGGAAGTGAAGTATCATCTGTTCGTGAGCGTGATCATTTCAGTCCTTAAGTCTGTGGTGCACACACCATGGTCGCCTCCGTGGTTGGGTGAGGCTTTTTGAAGTAACTCAAGAGTAATGTGTGGTCTTGGCTTTGACTTGAAAATCGAAGCATTCTATTGCAATCACACTGGATGGGGCCTTTTCTGCCCAGGAGGCAGCTACCACAGGGTGAGGTCGTTTGTCAGATGTAACAGACAAAACCAACCCACCGCTGAAAGGCCAAAAATAGAAAAGAGTGAAAGGTGAAAGTGTAAATTGTTCAGTCATGTCCTACTCCTTGTGACCCCACGGACAGGCCCCCCAGGCTCCTCTCCAGGCAAGAATACTGAAGTGAGCTGCCATTCCCAGGGGATCGTCCCAACCCAGGGATTGAACCCAGGTCTCCTGCACTCAGGCAGATTCTTTACCTTCTGACCACCACCAGGGAAAAGCCAGAAATGGACTCGCTCATTGCTTTGACTATTTTGAGTTGGCTTACCCTGGAAAATTTCATTAAAGCAAACAAAGCAAAATACCGCTCTACCAAGTTAAAGGACTTCTAGCTGTTTGGGGAGATCAGGGGAAGAAAGCAACACACAATTTTGTGGGTAAACTGTGTTCAAACAGCAGATAATCTGCCTGATGGGCAGTCTGCATGAACTCTAGCCTGCAGAATGCTCCTCAGCAGCCACACACGTGAGGTCCTGGGTCAGAATAAGACAGGTCGCCCGGAAGGCCCGTGTGTGCTGTGTGTTCTGGTACGCTGCATATCAGAACAAGCTTATAAAAACATTTCATTCTGATTCCCAAAATCTAGAACGTACTTTTGAAATCTGGGCTTCCCTAGTGGCTCAATGTCTGCCTGTTGAGACTTGGGTTCCATTCCTGGGTCAGGAGGATCCCCTGGAGAAGGAAATGACTACCCACTCCAGTATTCTTGCCTGGAGAATTCCATGCACAGAGGAGTCCGGTGAGTCACAGCTTCGCAAAGAGTCGGACATGACTGAAGCGACTTAGCATGCATGCACGCATAGATCCATGACCTGCAGCAGTCTGCAGCACGCTGAGTTCATTGGAAGGGCCTCGAGAGCCTCAGAGGACAGGGAAGATGGGCATGTGGGGAAAACAGGAGGAGCCAGCCACGGGCTCCAGAGGTGGGGCTTGAAGGAGGAGCCGGGCTTCCCCGCCCAGGCCGGTCCTCTGTGGTCCTGGGAAAGGCAGCCCACTAGTCTCCTGCTCATCCTGCCTGAACATGTGGCCTGCACGCCGAGGAGTGTGGTGAGGGTGGGGACAAGGGTCAGCAGCAGACCCGCCCCCTCCATGGGTAACCGGGGAGGGGGCTGCCTCAGGAACGCAGGCTTCCCCAAGTCCCGTCTTCCATGTGGAGACCCCAGAGGCTCCACATGTCCCTCAAGGAAAAGGTGCGTATTCAGAGCGAGGCCCTGGGCTTCCCGAGACCCTGGACCAGCTGCTCCTCCTGGCTCCTCCCTCCTCGCTCACCGCAGCCTACCCTGAGCACCCCGCACGCCACCCAGTGACAGTCCCCTCCCTCGGGACCCGCCGCATCTTCACCCGGGTCACCTCTGCTGTCCTTCCGAGCCCAGCGTGGCCGCCCTGGGCTGGAAGGACTCCTGGGTCCGCCCTCCACGTCCGCGGAGGGCGGAGCCCTGCGGGGAACACGGAGCCCCGCCCCTCTGCCCGAGGCCTCTCCGCGCACTAATGAGAACCCACAGGTGTCCCTGCCCTGAGGCCAGGCGAGTCTGTGTTACTTACGCTGCCCAATACATCGTCCTGCTGCAGTCCCTCGATGGATTCCAGGGAAGGCTGGAGGGCTGATGACGGGCACTTCAACTGTTTCCTGTTCGGGCGGGACATCAGCTTCTCCTATCTCAGGAGCGGGGCGCAGGGCGGGGTGGCTCAGCTAACACCTCCGGGACTGGTCCTCCCCTAGGGAAGCTGAGAAGCCCAGCCCAGCATCCTTCCCCGCCTCCACGGCCACTGTGTCAGCAGCCAGCCTGCAGGTGGACGGTGGGCTGGGAACAAGGAAGAGGTGAGGCATGAGGAGACGGGCTGGCAGAGGGCGTGGCCGCGGGGACAAGCAGTGGTCAGCCACGCCCCAGGCCTGGGGCCCTGACCCCTGGGCCCCCACGGCCAACCCACCTGTGGTCCAGAGGCGGCGGGAGCGTGCCTGCAGAGGTGATGTGGGATCTGTCCACTCTGCTTGGGGAAGGTGGGCAGGTGGGCCTCCCACGCAGCCCAGAGTGACCTCTGTGTCACGGGAACAAACCCCTTCGTTCCTCATTCCTTCTAGAAGATTCTGATCCTGATTTCCTGTTCCCGCTCTGCTGGTTCCCTCTAAGCCCAAGTCAATCCAGTTTTGAAACGAAAGAAGAACCTTCCCTTTCAGCTGTAAGACACGTCAGGCCCTGGAGGGCTCTCAGAACCAAAGATCCCAGTCCGTTTCCTGGACTCTGTAACTGGCAGTTTTTGCAATTGCTCGGTCACCAGTCCCCGGGTTGCAGAGCAGGCCTGGGCCTCCTCGGTCCACGTCCACTTCCCTCTCTGGGCTGCCTGCTCCTTTGGAGTGTTGTTTTGAGGGGATGAGGCCAAAAAGAAATCCCGACATCCCCCCTGGGTTTCCTGGGTCCTTGGTGGGCTGCCTCCTTCCCACCTTTCACGGGCTTCCCTGCCCAATGTACACGCTCTGCTCAAGGTTTGCAGATGTCCCTCGTGGAGGAACAGGGAAATGCACGCCTCCTCCCCTCCTTGGGGAGTAGAGGCCCAAGTATTTCTAGAGAACTCCTCGGTTTCCCAACTTGGGGCTTTGCTGTTCCACTTCAGCAAGATGCTGTCTGGGCTCTTTCCTCCACACACCCCACCCCCAACCCCACCCCACATTGGTCCTCCTGATGCTAATTCTAGGAAATTAGCAAAAATGTTTCCTATCTCTTTTGAAATTCTCAGTCCATTATTATTTCAGTTTAGTTGGCCTACCCTTTACTATAAGACAGGTACAGTCCAGGTTTTGGATTTTTGGATGGCCCAAGGCTATTCTAGCCCGAAAAACTCCAAATGCACAAACAAGAGCATCTTTCCTTAATAACACATGCTCTGCTCACCTGTGTAAGATTCACGTTCACGTCTAAAGAATCGTTAAAACCTGGCTTGCAATAAAGAAGCCAGCATTTCAAACACTGAGGGAGACTGAGATCTCATCTCTGGTTCTTGAGTGATGGATATTGCATGCTTTGGTCTCATCAGATGACCTGGACATTTGTGGAAAAGGCTCCTGTCTTTATTTGCCAGATGTAATGTAGGAGCCTGGCTGAGGAATGCTAAGTCACTTCAGTCGTGTCTGACTCTGTGACCCTATGGACTGTAGCCCGCCAGGCTCCTCTGTCCATGGGATTCTCTAGGCAAGAATACTGGAGTGGGTAGTCATTCCCTTCTCCAGGGGATCTTCTTGACTCAGGGATTGAACCCTTGTCTCATATCTCCTGCATTGGTGGGGTGGTGGTGGGGGTGGGGAGAGGAGGGGGTGTTCTTTACCACCTGGGAAGCCTGACTGACAGGTAAGCTCAAAACCACCTTGATGCACTTATCTTCTTGACTCCTTCCAATCTTTTCTGGAACACGAAGGGGAGCAATAAAGGTACAGATGCCTGAAAACAGGCAACGAATAAGAGATGCATTGCAGTGTCGGGACTAAACCTGCTGTAAAATTTCCCCTTCCTTTTTTTTCCTCTGAACCATCTAGGTCAAGTAATAAAATGTTATTGGTCATTTCAGAAGCCCCTCCATGTGCTCCCAAGACAGGAAGTAATCATTATCTTGAAATGGATATTACTCACTTCCTTTTTATTTAAGCCCAGCTGCAAGGCATGTGGAATCTTAGTTTCCTGACCAGATATCGAATCTGTGTCCCCTGCACTGGAAGTGTGGAGTCTTAATTGTTGGCCTGCCAGGATAGTCCCAAGTCCTTACTTCCTTGCATTTGGCTATTTATACTTGCATCACGTGCTATGCATTCCAACTCTCAATAATTTAATCTTGTCTTTTTCTTTTCCTGCTTTAACTGTTTTTTATTGTGGTAAAACAAGCACAAGATGAAATTTACAATTAGTGATATTTAGCACATTTATCTGGTCCTAAACATTTATACATGTTGTGCAACCATCACCACTCTATTTCCAGAAATTTTTGTCCCAAAAGGAAACCCTGTCATTTAACTGTCATTCCCCACCCACACCAACTCCTGGAAACCACCAACCTACTTTCTATTTCTGTGGATTTACCAACTCTGGGCATTTCATGTAAATGGAATCATACAGCACAAGATCTTTGTGTCTGGTTTCTCAACAAAGTGTTTACAATAAATACTGGAGCTTTATGTCTCTCCTATCTGGCAGGAATGGTAACTTGCCTAATTTGGAAGTTTTGGACTTTGCAGGGCTAGAGGGTAATCTAATAATGATAAAGCCAGCAGAGAGGGGACATTTTCCAAATATGGCTGATGGATGTCCCTGGTGGGAAGCTATTTGGTACAGTGGCTGATTTAGGACTGAGGATCCATAAAGACCATAGTCATTTGACTGTTTGTGGGGAAGCTTTCAGTAACTCATTCTAGACAAATGTTTGATCATTAACAAGGTTAATTGTGAACAAAAGATTAATTGTGAACAAAATATGGCCTATTAAAAAAGAAAAAGCTAACCGTTGGCCTTTCTTGTACTGTTTTCACCTAAGAATGTTTTTAAATATAATCTTTTTTCATGTTAAAAACGCACAGTATAACTGTAATGAGGCATTTCCAAGTACAGGTAAGGGTCATGTGGTTCTTCTGAGAGATTTGAGCAAAGAGACGGGTGATGTGATGAAGCAGAACCGCACCCGAGCATGCTCTACTGTGAGTTTTTATATTTATGTACAAATCGACAGCTCTCGTCCCAGGGAAGTAACTGAGGTGGGGACAGAACCACCTGCCTTCCCTGGCAGAGGAATTCCTGGTTTTCAAGAAGTCATGTTATTTTCTTTTTATTTTCTTTTCTGCCACTTGAGAACATTGCTTATGCATTAGTTTCTGGAGCTCTTGAATTATCCTCCTGACATTGAGTCCATTCCTAGACGCTCCAAAAGTAGCTTCGTTGAAAGGAAAAATGAGAACAAAGTTGCCTGCCTGGGGACCGGGCACCCAGCTGCTGTCCGGCTGGATGTGCGGGGAGAGGC